ATAACAGGTAAAAAGCCAGTAGTCGCACATTCCGGTTAAAACCAACAGGGGAAAATTAAAGATACACTTAGAGCAAAAGGAAGCATTGATGCCCAAACAAATCTGTCCTAAAAGCGAAACTTCGGCAAACTGAGTACTAAGTTGTTTCTTTGCTAAACTGTTTAATAGTTCAACAAAGGATCTGGAACTAAAAGGTTAACCTTTTGGGGCCATGACTGAATGTGGACCAAAATGGGAAAACCAAAAGGTCAAAAGGTCGGCTTTGAACAACTGAGGTTTCTTTACAACCCATGGCATGAGCTCGGCGAAACACGAACAGAACCGAAACACGGGGCGAAACCCGAGAAAAACAAAAAGGCCGAAACAATCAGGTTCTAGGCTCCCCTAAATACAGAATAATGCGTGGGCTATGACCCGGTGCTTTTGTGTGTGTGTGTGTGTGTTGATTTGCTTGTTTGTTTGTCTGTTTGATTGATTGATTGATTGATTGATTGATTGATTGATTGATTGATTGATTGATTGATTGATTGATTGATTGATTGATTGATTGATTGATTGATTGATTGATTGATTGATTGATTGATTGATTGATTGATTGATTGATTGATTGATTGATTGATTGATTGATTGATTGATTGATTGATTGATTGATTGATTGATTGATTGATTGATTGATTGATTGATTGATTGATTGATTGATTGATTGATTGATTGATTGATTGATTGATTGATTGATTGATTGATTGATTGATTTGATTTTTTGCTAACTACTTACTTTCTTGCCAACGAAGATCCAAGCAGGATTGTTTCGGGGTCCACCTTGGGTGGACCAGCGCCAAGCTGACCCGCAAGTGATAAAACCGTTGAAACAGAAAATGGCGGTGGCTCAAAGATTGGGCAACCCCAAAGTGGGCTCTCTGGTAAATGGAAGCATGAACCAAAATCTGCGGCCCCAATTTCGACCCATACCCAACTTTGGGAGAACAGAAGGCACACAGTTGCAAAGTCACGCCAAGTCTGGCAAAAGGTTCAACCCGGGCAGGCAAACAACTCCCCAAGCTGGACCACGTATTCTAACGGACGGGCCCAGCCACAAATGGGTGCAGCCGCCTGTTTAGTTCTTTGCATGGTTCCTGGTAGACCGGGTAGACCATTTTAACACCAGGTCTTGATTTTGACTCAGATGGCAGCTTATGTGGCATCCCAGTTGTCCCAACCAACGTTTTGACCTTTTGCCTTTCCCATGTTGGTCCATGTTTGGTCAAGGCTTCCAGGTCTTTAAGGGGCAAGTCAGGTGTCATATGCGCATCCGACTGGTTTGGGTGCTAACCTGGATCTACCCGTGTGTGTGTGTGTGTGTTTGTGTGATTTAAGGGAATCCCCCTCGTCAAACAAAAAAACAACAAAACACAGCTTCCTGGTCTCCCTTGGCTTCCTCGTGGTTTCCCTTCAAAACCAACCCAAAATGGGTGGAGACCCCCAAAAGTGAATAAACTCAACTAATAATCATGTTGGTCTTGTGGATTCCCCTTTTCAAAACCAACAAAAATAGGTGGTGCCGCCCCAAAAAAAAACAAAGGGACAGAGATCCGTCGGCCACCGCTCTCCCCCCATCTTTGTGCCCCCAGCCAGCCAGGGCGCGATACTTCTCCGGCCACAGCGCGCTGGCCAGCGGCCGGACACACTGCGCCTGCAACGTCTGCCTCACGTGGCACGAGGGAAAAACGAAAGAAATGTCTCTGTGGATCCTTTAACGCAGGGATTCGAATGAACGAACAAAACAATAGAAGTACAAACTTAAGAATATTTACATACATATTGATAATATGTAAATATATATATATATGTGCATAGAACATATCCCTATGTCCCTCTCTGCCAGGTCCCCCAGTAGAGAGGCTAGAATAAGGGTATCCTTTTCTCTGTAGTCTATTTTTAGTCGGGGAACCCTCCCAAAAAAGGGGCAAGAAAGGGCACCTACTGGGGGACCTTGCAACTAAAATACAGGGAGAGCCGCCAAGAACAGACATGTGCAAACTGTGTCCATTGGCTGGGGTTGATGGGCCAAAACAACAGGTCCTTAAACTTTTGATTTGCCGCTAAATGGCTTAAACCGAAAAAAACAGTGACTAAAGTCCATGAGCTCAGGGCTCCTGAGAAGATGGTCCGAACCCCAAAAGTGACTAAAGTCCATGAGCTCAGGGCTGCTGAGAAAATGGTCCGAACCCCAAAAGTGTCAAGTCCATGAGCTCAGGGCTGCTGAGAAAATGGTCCGAACCCCAAAAGTGTCAAGTCCATGAGCTCAGGGCTGCTGAGAAAATGTGAGCTCAGGCCTGCTGAGAAGATGGTCCGAACCCCAAAAATGTCAAGTGCATGAGCTCAGGGCTGCTGAGAAAATGGTCCGAACCCCAAAAGTGTCAAGTCCATGAGCTCAGGGCTTCTGAGAAAATGGTCCAAACCCAAAAAGTGTCAGTCAAGTCCATGAGCTCAGGGCTGCTGAGAACATGGTCCGAACCCCAAAAGTGTCAAGTCCATGAGCTCAGGCCTGCTGAGAAAATGGTCCGACCCCCCAAAAGTGTCAAGTCCATGAGCTCAGGGCTGCTGAGAAAATGGTCCGAACCCCAAAAGTGTCAAGTCCATGAGCTCAGGGCTGCTGAGAAAATGTGAGCTCAGGCCTGCTGAGAAGATGGTCCGAACCCCAAAAATGTCAAGTGCATGAGCTCAGGGCTGCTGAGAAAATGGTCCGAACCCCAAAAGTGTCAAGTCCATGAGCTCAGGGCTTCTGAGAAAATGGTCCAAACCCAAAAAGTGTCAGTCAAGTCCATGAGCTCAGGGCTGCTGAGAACATGGTCCGAACCCCAAAAGTGTCAAGTCCGTGAGCTCAGGGCTGCTGAGAAAATGGTCTGAACCCAAAAAGGGTCAAGTCCATGAGCTCAGGGCTGCTGAGGAAATGGTCCGAACCCCAAAAGTGTCAAGTCCATGAGCTCAGGGCTGCTGAGAAAATGGTCCGAACCCCAAAAGTGTCAAGTCCGTGAGTGCAGGGCTGCTGAGAACATGGTCCGAACCCAAAAAGGGTCAAGTCCATGAGCTCAGGCCTGCTGAGAAAATGGTCCGAACCCCAAAAGTGTCAAGTCCATGAGCTCAGGGCTGCTGAGAACATGGTCCGAACCCTAAAAGTGTCAAGTCCATGAGCTCAGGCCTGCTGAGAAAATGGTCCGAACCCCAAAAGTGTCAAGTCCATGAGCTCAGGGCTGCTGAGGAAATGGTGCGAACCCCAGGGCTGCTGAGAAAATGGTCCGAACCCCAAAAGTGTCAAGTCCGTGAGCTCAGGGCTGCTGAGAAAATGGTCCGAACCCCAAAAGTGTCAAGTCCGTGAGCTCAGGGCTGCTGAGAAAATGGTCCGAACCCCAAAAGTGTCAAGTCCGTGAGGTGAGGGCTGCTGAGGAAATGGTCCGAACCCCAAAAGTGTCAAGTCCATGAGCTCAGGGCTGCTGAGAACATGGTCCGAACCACAAAAGTGTCAAGTCCATGAGCTCAGGGCTGCTGAGGAAATGGTCCGAACCCCAAAAGTGTCAAGTCCATGAGCTCAGGGCTGCTAAGAACATGGTCTGAACCCAAAAAGGGTCAAGTCCATGAGCTCAGGGCTGCTGAGAAAATGGTCCGAACCCCAAAAGTGTCAAGTCCATGAGCTCAGGGCTGCTGAGAAAATGGTCCGAACCCCAAAAGTGTCAAGTCCGTGAGCGCAGGGCTGCTGAGGAAATGGTCTGAACCCAAAAAGAGTCAAGTCCATGAGCTCAGGCCTGCTGAGAAAATGGTCCGAACCCCAAAAGTGTCAAGTCCATGAGCTCAGGGCTGCTGAGAACATGGTCCGAACCCCAAAAGTGTCAAGTCCATGAGCTCAGGGCTGCTGAGAAAATGGTCCGAACCCCAAAAGTGTCAAGTCCATGAGCTCAGGGCTGCTGAGAAAATGGTCCGAACCCCAAAAGTGTCAAGTCCATGAGCTCAGGGCTGCTGAGAAAATGGTCCGAACCCCAAAAGTGTCAAGTCCATGAGCTCAGGGCTGCTGAGGAAATGGTCCGAACCCCAAAAGTGTCAAGTCCGTGAGCTCAGGGCTGCTGAGAAAATGGTCTGAACCCAAAAAGGGTCAAGTCCATGAGCTCAGGGCTGCTGAGAAAATGGTCCGAACCCCAAAAGTGTCAAGTCCATGAGCTCAGGGCTGCTGAGAAAATGGTCCGAACCCCAAAAGTGTCAAGTCCGTGAGCGCAGGGCTGCTGAGAAAATGGTCTGAACCAAAAACGGGTCAAGTCCATGAGCTCAGGGCTGCTGAGAAAATGGTCCGAACCCCAAAAGTGTCAAGTCCATGAGCTCAGGGCTGCTGAGAACATGGTCCGAACCCCAAAAGTGTCAAGTCCATGAGCTCAGGGCTGCTGAGAAAATGGTCCGAACCCCAAAAGTGTCAAGTCCATGAGCTCAGGGCTGCTGAGAAAATGGTCCGAACCCCAAAAGTGTCAAGTCCATGAGCTCAGGCCTGCTGAGAAAATGGTCCGAACCCCAAAAGTGTCAAGTCCATGAGCTCAGGGCTGCTGAGGAAATGGTCCGAACCCCAAAAGTGTCAAGTCCGTGAGCTCAGGGCTGCTGAGAAAATGGTGTGAACCGAAAAAGGGTCAAGTCCATGAGCTCAGGACTGCTGAGAAAATGGTCCGAACCCCAAAAGTGTCAAGTCCATGAGATCAGGCCTGCTGAGAACATGGTCCGAACCCAAAAAGGGTCAAGTCCATGAGCTCAGGGCTGCTGAGAAAATGGTCCGAACCCCAAAAGTGTCAAGTCCATGAGCTCAGGGCTGCTGAGAAAATGGTCCGAACCCCAAAAGTGTCAAGTCCATGAGCTCAGGGCTGCTGAGAAAATGGTCCGAACCCCAAAGTGTCAAGTCCATGAGCTCAGGGCTGCTGAGGAAATGGTCCGAACCCCGAAAGTGTCAAGTCCATGAGCTCAGGGCTGCTGAGAAAATGGTCTGAACCCAAAAAGGGTCAAGTCTATGAGCTCAGGGCTGCTGAGAAAATGGTCCGAACCCCAAAAGTGTCAAGTCCATGAGCTCAGGGCTGCTGAGAAAATGGTCCGAACCCCAAAAGTGAGCTCAGGGCTGCTGAGAAAATGGTCCGAACCCCAAAAGTGTCAAGTCCGTGAGCTCAGGGCTGCTGAGAAAATGGTCCGAACCCCATAAGTGTCAAGTCCGTGAGCTCAGGGCTGCTGAGAAAATGGTCCGAACCCCAAAAGTGTCAAGTCCGTGAGCTCAGGGCTGCTGAGGAAATGGTCCGAACCCCAAAAGTGTCAAGTCCATGAGCTCAGGGCTGCTGAGAAAATGGTCTGAACCCCAAAAGTGTCAAGTCCATGAGCTCAGGCCTGGTGAGAAAATGGTCCGAACCCCAAAAGTGTCAAGTCCATGAGCTCAGGGCTGCTGAGAAAATGGTCCGAACCCCAAAAGTGTCAAGTCCATGAGCTCAGGGCTGCTAAGAACATGGTCTGAACCCAAAAAGGGTCAGTCAGGTCCATGAGCCAGGGCTTAGCTCAAGAAGCCAAACCCGGAAGGCCAGATCTTACGGCTGCGCCCAGCTGCAGGAAGAAGTCCAGGCCCACATCTCGCAGCACCAGGCCATATCCTCGGGGAGGGTTGCCTCGGTTGCCTCCAACATACCGGGGGGGGGGGGGCCTCTGTTTTAGATCCCCTGCGACAAGTGAATGACTCCTAGTGGGCTTCAAAGACACCCCCCAAACTCAAAACCTAAAAACCTAAGGAACCGGACGGACTTAGAACGGACCTCTGAAAACCGTCAAGAATATGAGTTTTGCTCAGAGGAAAAGCTGGGGTTTTGGGTTTGTCTGCAGAAAGCTCTGACTGTCCTTCAGTTCTTTTCATAAGGACCCTGCAAGGCAAGAAAGGCCCAGCCGAAATGGCGGCGGCATGCAGCCACTCCAGCAATGAAATTGAAATTGCTTCCCTTTAAACACCAAGGACAACGAGACACATTCATTTCAGCAATGGAAGTGAAGTGAACCTGTGCGGGGTCCGGAGAGCTGTTTCTAACGAGGTAGGCAGGTGGAAGGCCTGAGAATCCAGGTGCGCCCTCGCCGGAGGTCAAATCTACAACCAAATTGCGCCAGGAGGCCCCAGGAGAGGGCAATGGAGGAAACATCAATACTCACTTCCTGAGTGGGTTGGCCAGAAAAGGTCCTTAAACTTGGTCCAAACCCAAAGAGTGACTAGAGTCCGAACGGAACTCAGGAAGTGTGAATAGGACATAATTGCTTGGCTGGAATTTTCTGACCCCAGCAAACAAAATATATATATATATATATATACACACGTTTCTGCCTGGTTAGTGGAAAGCCAATGGGGACCCCAAAAAAGCCAAAAAAAGAAAAGAAAGAGGGGAGCTAATTCTGGGGAAGATTGCTGGTTGGGTCACTTACAGCGGCGGAAGGCCTGGCTATCCACCCCACCGTAGCCCACCCGACCTAAGCCACACACTGTGACGCAGCCCTTGTGCACCCCTGGACTGATCTTGGCCAGTCAACAAGTTGCCACGCCATCCTCTGGGTTCTTCTACCAAAAGGGGGAAAAGAACAAAAACATACTCCCTCTGCTTTTCTCGTGGCTCCCATGAACCCTTTGACTTTTTCCCCGGCCCTTCACCCGCCACTCGCGACCCGCTCGACCCGCTCGACCCGCTCGACCCGCTCGACCCGCTCGACCCGCTCGACCCGCTAAAAATCGCCGAGGCGCGGTTCATGGAGTTGGGGCGGCTCAGCTCCCAGGCGCTCTGCGTCGCCCAGCGCTCGATGGCCGTGAGCTCTTCAAGCAGCCGAGCCGTCAGCCCCTCCTGCGGACCCTGCGGGCCGCTTTCCAGCTGCCGGGCTCTTGGGGCTTTTTCGAGCCCACGAAAAACGAACCCAAAGACTGGCAGACCGGAAAACAGGTACCAAGAGCTGGGACGCTAGCTGAAATCAGTGTTTTTTTTTTTTGGTGCGGCCCTGTTTCTTTCCTGATGTCCAGGGGGCTATGACTCAGCTCCCCTCGCCAGCCTGAAAGGTTTCGAGGTGTTCCCAGGACTTCCAAATCCAAACCACCAATCCAAACCCCCTAGGGAAAAAACAAAACAAAAACGCGAGCGGACTCTCAAGAAAAACGGAGCCTGGGTGCAGCAAAGGCAGTTCACAACTGCAACCACTGGTGAAGAATGCTTCTCAAAGCTGTGCGCTGCTTCATTTGGCCCCAAGCTTGCGCCCAAAGCCAAGCCGACGCCTGCCTGCAGCACGCCCAAAGACGTCCATGCTCAGCCCCAAGACGCACGACAGCCCTTAAGCTACTCCAATCCATGATTCACCTTACCACTCATTGGTGGGATAAGAACTCACAAGTTGTTTCTATGCTTCTTTATTTGGCCACCCCAAACTCCCTAAAGGTCGCGCACTCAGTGCTCAGAGACCCGGAGTCGTTCGTTCGTTTGAACTCATAACTTCCGCTTTCCCAGGCGCTCCAATCCCCAAACCTCCATCCGCATCCGCCTCCCCAAACAACCTCCCTGAGCCCCTTCCCTCCCGCTCCTCATCCTCCGGAAAGACCCGCAGCGCGAACACCTTCCGAGTTGCTCCCCCCCCCCCAGCGCCCCAGCGTGCGATTTGTTTTTTGGTGGAACTCTGCCAGGCACAAATGGCCTCTCGAACATGGTGTCCCAGGCCGAGAAACCAAATGAGTTCAAAGGAGTTTTTCTGTACATAGAACGAAAAACCAATCCAGATTGCAATCCGGAGAGGGCTGGCTGATGCGAAGTGGGCAGCCACCGACTCGTTTTGACCGCGTCAAGTCCAAACCTGATTCCTTGCCCTTCATTTGATCTTCCCAACAACCACGCGGTCCGTAAAACTCACTAAAGACTGCGGCCACCGTCCGGAAAATTGGTTGGACAGTCACCAGTGTCCAACCACACAAGTGCAGTGCATCGAGTCATTGGCCTTCATAGAAGCCCTTCCTGAAGCCCCGAATGTTGTTAAGCATGCGCTCAACAAAAGCAACGGTGACGTTTGCACTGCGACTGTTTGATGCCAAGGTTTTCCAGTAGAGAGAGTAGGAAAAAGGTTCATGTTTGTTTTTCTGTAGTCTATCTTAGTCGGGGAACCCTCCCCACCAAAACAGAAACGGTAAAAGGGCAACTAGCTGCGGGGCCTAGATGCGAACCCCGAGAAAATCATTGTCCCCAGTCAAGCCTTGGAAACCCTTAAAGTTAACTCCTTGACGTGGAATCCTGAATCGACGAAGGGGCGCTGACGTGGCTCGGACCCTCTATAGGTCAACATGTTCAAGGAGTAAATTATTTTTGCAACATGCATTCGGTAAACCGCAAAATGGCAAACAACATCCAAAATCAATGAACTCCACATTGGCTTTTTGGACTTGTGGCTTGAACATTTGAACCCCTGGTCCTTTTAGAGAGTAAATGAGCCACCACCCCCCTGCCTCCAAATCACGAATTGGGAGGGACACTGACAACAGAGATGCCAGGAAAACATGGAAGAACAAATAAACATACAGGAAAACATGAAAGAAAACGTAAGCCCAGGTGATATTCTGTTGAACCGGCGACCCCTGAACTTTTCCGGAACCCCAGCCCGCGCAACGACTCACTGAGCCTCTCTCAGCTCCTGGGGAATATTTTGCCGGGCCCGGTCCCAAACCACCTGAATCCCGGCTCTCAGTTGCCCAAAGGTCCCGGGAAAAGAAACGTGTTTTGGGACCTGGGCGAAGCATGGCCCAAGAAACGGGGAAACCAAACTTCGATTGCTTCTTCGCCGCCTGGGGAAAAAATTAAGAAGATATTTCCAGTAGCGATAGGTTCCCTTCAAATTCAACAAGGGGGAAAAACCAACAAACAAATACAAAAACACCCATTTCAGCAAAAATAAACAAAACCACAACTCTCAGATCCGGTCCATGCGCGTTGAAATGCGCAAGTGAGGCCTCCCGGCTCCCCGTGAAGCCCCGGCCCCACCTCCGGCGCGATCTCCGCGCACAGCGCCTGCAGCGCCTTGGCCCGCGCTGCCGTGGGCAGCGCCAAGGCTGCTGCCAAGGGCGGGGAGAGGTACTGACGCAGGTCGAGACCCGTGTACCTCACGGCTTGTGGTTTGCATTTGCTGAAATGGGTGTTGTTTTTTCTTATTTTTTCCCCTTGTTGAAGTTAAAGGGGATTTATCACTACGAGAACTATGTCCCTTTCTCCAGTGACGTTTGCACTGCGACTGTTTGATGCCAAGGTCCTCCAGATTTGGAGGTTAGAACAAGGGTTCCCCTCTCCAAAAAAAGGGTAAAAGGGCACTACTGGGGGACCTAGTCGGGCCAACCCGGCTCAAACATGCTTAACTTGCTTTCGATCGAGTGGATGGCCCAAAACACAAACTTTGCGCTGTACCCACTGAAATGGTCTTGCCCAAAAGTGACTAAAGTCCGAGCACTCAAGAAGTGAGGTGAACACCCGTGGTTTGAACAGCCTACGGGGTACCATATTCTTCTTGTTGATACCAACGTCCCTCGATACTTCAATCATTGTAGCGCTACAAAGTCAGGAGCCGACCCCGGGCTCCCACAACCCTGCTCTCAGATTGCTAGATTTGTTGCCGGGGGTTTATAAGAATATCAAACAAATGAACATCCCCTGTTGCTTTCCTTTCGGGCACGCAAGTCCAGAAAGGGCTACGGGGTGCTTCAAAGCCACATTTAGCAATCTTGGTTGATGTTGGAAGGGGAGCAAACATGTAAATTTTAGAAGTCAAGTGAAGAGTTCCCACTAAACCACAATAAGCAAAAATGCAAAATGTTTTCCAACGACAACCATGCAATGGTTTTTGGCATAAGCAACTTGAAACTATGTCGCATCCCTTGGTCTGCTGGTTCAGCAAAGTCATGCTCAAGCCAGTGGAGGAAGCTCTTGCCCATAGAGGCTGAATTCATATGATTGAGCCCCCTACGTATTCGAGTTTCTGCTATTTCTGGACACCGGCTTCGAGTCAGAATCAACATGCAGAGCCTACCCACCAACACGCAGAGTCTACCCACCAACCCGCCAATCCGCCGACCCTCTGCCTCCCGTCCCAGCCTCCTGCAGAGGGGACCGGCGTGGGATGCAAATGGAAGTGATTGGAATCAATGATAGTTTCTGCAGGAAACACGCCCGAACGCACGAAAAGTGGATTTCTAGGACCGGTGTTGGTCCGGGACCGGTCCTGGGACCAGTCCTGGGACCGGTCCTGGGACCGGTCCTGGGACTGGTCCTGACACCCTGGTTCTGCTGTTTCAGATTACTTGTAGTCGGCCAAAACCGGTCCTTGGGACCGGTCCCGGGACCGGTCCCAGGACCGGTCCGGACCGCTCCTGGGACTGGTCCAGGACCAGTCCAACCGGGGTTGGTCCTGGACCAGGGACGTGTCCCAGCACCAGGTCCTGGGACCGGTCCTGGGACTGGTCCCGGCCAGGACCGCTTTCAGGACTGAAGCCGGTCCCGGGATGGGTCCTGCCACCTCAAACCGCTCCAGACGCCTTTCCGGACTGGCACCCGTGTTTCAGGACACTGTGCCAGACTGGGACCAGCCTGTCCCGGTCCCTGCCGGCGACCGGGTCCAGGGCAACTTCGGGAGGGCCAGTTTCAGGGCGCTCCCGGGCCAACTCGAAGTGACTTGGGCGCAAGCCGGCCCAAGCGGTAATTAACGGACTAGCTGCCATATTTCTGACTTTTCCGTTAATCCTTGTTTGTGGTCGTAGAGGATCTTATAAGTGGTCCCTGGTGTTTCAGGACCGGTCCTTGTGACTTTTCCCTTAATGCACCGAGGGTCGGCGGCAGCAGGCGGGAGCCTGGTTAATAATCAAAAGGCTTTAGGACGGCCGCGCCTATGGTTAAAGCTTGGGATTGTCCCGTCACCTGTTCATCAAGGTTCCCCTTCCCCAAAACCCCAAGAAGATCTCACTTTAGTTGGGCCTAGAAGGTGAACTGGGTATGGGTCAAAGATTGGGTACCCCAAAAATGGGTTGTGCTGGTAGATGAAAAGGACCAACACCTACGGTCCATATCCTTTTTTTCTTCTTTTCAACTAGGTCCTCTAGTGGAGAGTGTAGATTAAGGGTACCTGCTTTTTCTTTTCTATTTTAGTAGGGGAACCCTCCCAACCAACACAGAAAAGGTAAAAGGGCACCTCACTGAGGGACCTTGCCAAAGCCACAGCAACCAGTGGCTCCAAGACAAGCCGCAGCTGCGGCCAAGGGCTCTGATACCCGTGGTCCGCCGGCAGACCACGCATCTCCTTGCGCAAGGCCGCCTGCTGCTTCCTGTCGCAAAGCCAATCCGTCAAGGTGATTCTAACCCTGGTTTCGTTTGGAACCAAACCTAGACAGCAGTGCCCTCCATGCGTCAAGCGGATCAAAAGAGGGCACCTATGGTCCCTTACTAGGTCCTCCGCTAGAGAGGTTCAGGGTACCAACTTGTTTTCCTGTGGTCTATTTTAGTAGGGGAACCCTCCCCCAAAAAATGGCAAAAGTATTTTCTGAGGTCTATTTTAGTAGGGGAACCCTCCCAACCAAAAAAGAAAAGGTAAAAGGGCACTACGGGTGGACCTTGCCATCAAGGTGATTCCAACAGTTCAAAAGGTTTCGGCCTTACCATAACCCTTTTGCTACATCCGCATCTCTCCAGTTGAATTTGCCTTTAAAACCAAAGAATGGTTGCCCCCTTCAATAACAATATGTGCCTTCAATAACAAGACATGCCAGAGGTGCCTTAAGCTGGAAGGAAGCAAACGTTGAAAAGCAGCTACACACACATGTATCAAATGGGCAGATGAGGCGAACAGCCTTGCAGCCAGTAGTGGCCCTGATGTTTGCTGAAAAAGTGCCCTGTTCTGCTTTTGTTTGGGGCTGAGTCAAAACAGCCACCCCCAAAACACACAGCAGGGGCTGCTGAGTTTATATCACCGAGGCAGTAAAAAAATGTTTTGCTCCTGCAAAAGCTAAAAAAGCTTCTAGGCACCCTTGAGAAGAATGGCAAGCAGAACGCCCGCCCATACCATGGAACCCTTCTGCCACGGATTTGAGGTGATGGATACAAACGCCAAGCACCGATAAGAAAGACGGCTCCCCCTTGTATTTGAACTCCCCTCTGCTAAGCAAGACACTGTGCAACAGGACACGTCGGCCAATTTCACAACATGCGTGCTGACTGATCAATCGACCGATTGAAAGTGCTTGGAGAAGGGGGTTGTATTCTGAGTCACCTGTGAAACGGTCCGTTCCAAACTTTTGGCGTCTCCTAAGATTGTCCTCCCAAAAAGTGACTGAGTCCGAAACAAATTTTAGGGAGTGTGTTTGAAAATCCTAAGCTGATCTTCGAGCCACGCACATCCTGAGCTACAAGGTGACCGCTGTGCTCTTTGTGGTTGTAAACCACCTGCGTAACACTTTTGTCATTCAAAAAGAATAGGGAAGCTGCTACCGAGAGGAGACCAAATCCTTGCGTAACCTGAGGTCAGGATCTTGCGGATGACCTCTGAACGGAACAGGCATGAAAACAAGACAAAGCCCCCCCATGAGCAGATCAAAAAGGCTGCAATTCAATCTTTAAACTTGAATAGATTCAAAGTTCAGGCCTTTTCCGCCCCTCCCCGCCAAAAAGACAAACGCAACAACCTAAAACAAGCAAGGACTCTGCTTCCCTTCCCCCCGGCTTCCCAATCCCCGCTGACGAGCTGACGCCGCTGAGGCCCCCGGCTGCTGCGCCTCCAAATCGTCGAGGCGTCGCTTGCGCTGCGCGGCGTCGTGCGCCGCCAGCGCCCGCAGCTCCTCGCAGCTGGGCGGCGCCTCCGGCCGCGAGCACCGAGCACCGAGCGGAAGACTCGCTTGAGCGGATGGCCCCCAAAAAACTTTTTTTTTTTTTTTTTTTTTATATTACCACTCAAATGGTCTTTCCAAAAAGTTTCAAGTCTATGAACTCAGGAATTGTCCAAATGAAGTTCATGGGATTTCCCAAGTGGCCATGGGTCAAAATCCAAATCATACCCCCAGTGAACGTCCCAATCCCAACTAAAATAGGTTCTAAAATGGGTGGTGATATCACCTACCCCAAACTGGTACCATTGTTGTTCACCCACAGCCAAGCGTCTTTTTCATTCAACGGATCCCAGTGAAGGAGAACTGCAACCATGGACTTCGGTGTAGTGTGGCCCAAAATGAAGAAAGGTGGAGGCAGGCCAAAGGAAGCGCGAGGCAGCAGTGACGTTGAACACAAAAGGCAGTGAGCCGAAAACATGGCCGACCAACTGGCGGGTGCTCTGCAGGACATGAGGGAATGACCCTTATAAACCATCCCCTATGGTTTCCTTTAAGCCCGGTGATCGAAAGGTTCACTAGCTGTTCGAAGGGAATACGCACGAGCACGAGACAGGCATTGTTTTGGAGAGGGCCCACTTTTTGAAGAACCTCACGCAGCGTCGAGCCATTCCTATCCATAGCGCGTTGTCTCAGTTGCTCGTTGGTAAGTGGTCATTCCTGCTGGTTTGCTTGCCCCTTAAACCCTGCCAGTCAAGCAACGCCCCCGCCTTGCCCGGATGCAACAACTCAGCCACGGCCAGGCGGCTTTTGGAAACATGTCCTGCCACTTTGCGTTTCGGCCACAGGGCTCCATGTTTTGACTACCCCAAAGTAGACATTTTCACGGAAACTTCTGCGGTTAATGGGTTAAGTTTGCCTTGGGGTGCTCAAATACTGATTCAAACCGAGCACGTGGGACAAAGAACATCATAGGGTAGTGCCTGCAAGGCCATGCTGGTGAATGGAACTGCAGCCCTTCGGCCTTTAAGCGCCGGCTGTTCCTCTTCTTGTTGGCTTCGTGGCGGGGCGGCGGCCCAGTTATGTGGCGTATTTGGCTTTCCGCAAGCAACGGCCAGCTCACCCTACGCTCAAGCCATTGGTTCATACATGGGAATACGCCCGGGGAATCACCCAAACTTCCAGCGTCTTTCCAGGGAAAAAAAAAGAAACACCTGGTGATGTTCTCTTTTTTGTTGGATTAGTTTGGCGGGTGTAAGGGGAAACTCCTTAGATTCATGTTTGGTTTGCTTGGGGTGGCTGCGAAGGGCCAAACAAATCTTGGGCTCAGGCGCTGTGCGTTGGGTCCGACTCGGGCGGGGGCATGGCACGAGAAATCCACTCCCTGCGTGGCTGGCCGCGTGCTTCTGGAGGTTCACTGTCCGAGTCTCCGGCTTTTCAGTTTCCAATGGGGTCACTCTGGCACCCACGTGGACTTGCAGACGCCGGCAAACAGAGAGAATACAAAGGAAAGGCTGCTGCTTGGGCTATGTGAACACACGTCAGCAGCCAGTCAGCCCACACTACGGCCGGTAGTCAGCGATGAATGCTTGACTGCCCTCAAATGCCTTGGCCGAAACAAACTTGAAAGAACAAGTTCTCCTGGCTCTTTTGCTGGCCAATGAGAACGAACTCCAACAAAGTATCAAGTTCCTGACTGAAGTCCGAAACGGAACTCGGGGCGCGTGAGAGGTTCTTTCGTAGAATTGCAAAGAGGGCTTCCCAAAGACTAAGCCCCCACATAAAAAGGCGAGATTCGCTTCTATCCCAGCAGTGGTTGGCTAAACCCCTTGCGATCCCCAAAAAACCTGATTCATATCTCAACTCTCCTTCTCTTCCACCCCCTAGGCCCTCCAGCGGAGAGGTTAGAATCAGGGCGCCCTTTTTCGGGTAGTCCGATTTTAGCACGGGAACCCTCCCGGAAAAAAGAAACGGTAAAAGTTGGCACTGGGGGACCTTGCGCCTCTTCCCCCTCCTCCCCCCGACTCCCCCCGCTCTTCCCCTCCCTGGCCTCCGTTCTTGGCGCCCTCGCGCAGCGCCACGTCCCAGGCGGTGGCGCCATCCAAATCCAGCACCGCAGCCAAGGCGCCGCAGGCGCCCACCAGCGCCGACGCGGCCTGGCGCGGTGGCTTGGTGCGCCGGTGGCTTGCGCCGGTTTCTCCTAACAGCTTAATGGAAAACCCATTCGTTGACAAACAAAAGCGAAAGTCCCAACATCCAAGCAAAATGAACCAAAGGTTGGGGAGGTGAGAATTACCGTGGCTGGTGCTAAGTTTGGGGAGGTAATGCCAAATCTTTATGCACTCAGTGTGGGGCTGGAGTGTGGGGGGTGGGGGGGATTCGTTGCTGCCCAGGCTTTGGCCCCCTTAAAGGAAACCCACCAGAAAAGGAGGGTCTATGGGCTTCATTCCATTTCTGCTTATCGCACCTACTGTGGATGGTTGCCGCGCCGCCGAAAGGAAGCCATGGTGGACATCCCGTTGGGGAACGCAACCATGTCTACTCTTGGTACGGTAGCAAAAAACGTTGTTTTTTGCAGACGCCCAGTAAAAATGAACAGAACCAAAAAACTAAACTAGAGGACGATTGGCCCGAAAGCATTTTTCCACAGGTGCTCATCCGGCCGCGGAGACACCTTTTTACATCGCTGCGGCGAGCGTGTCTGCGCACTGCGATGCTCAGTGTGTATGGTCACATGAGAGCTCCATCTCATCATCCTACTTTCCTCTCGAACTGCGCCGCGCGATTTCTCACGAAAGTGGTCTGCGCAAATTCAAGGCTGCTGCGCGCAAGTTGCTCTCTGCAAGCTGCTGCACGCAAGTGCTCTGTGCAAGTCGCTCTGCGCAAGTGCTCTGAGCAAGTTGCTCTGCGCAAGTGCTCTGCGCCAGTTGCTCCGCGCAAGCGCTTTGCGCATGTGCTCTGTGCAAGTTGGTCTGTGCAAGTTGCTCTGCGCCAGTTGCTCCGTGCAAGCGCTTTGCGCATGTGCTCTGTGCAAGTTGCTCTGCGCAAGTGCTCTGAGCAAGTTGCTCTGCGCAAGGGCTCTGCGCCAGTTGCTCCGTGCAAGCGCTTGGCGCATGTGCTCTGTGCAAGTTGGTCTGTGCAAGTTGCTCTGCGCAAGTGCTTTGTGCAATTGCTCTGTGCAAGTTGCTCTGCGCAAGTTGCTCTGCGCAAGTGACTCTGCGCAAGTTGCTCTGCGCAAGTGCTGCCGGAGCTGTGGGAATGTACTTCGCGTTCTATTTTTGTACTTAAAAGTTACGATTTTCCAGCCGGAGCTGCGGGGGTGTGCTCCGCGCACTACGTTTGTACTTAAAAGTTGCGATTTTCCAGCCGTTCTGTTCCAAGCCTCCCCCGAAGCAAGAAGTAGAAGCCGAAACCCTCCTGCCATGTTGGCTCGCTCCATAAAACCTACATGGACAGCGCAACCTTGCCCCTCCCCCCGTGCCGACAAACATGTCATAACATGTGTTTTTTAAATGCGGAATAATGATAAATAGCCTTATTACTGATATTGCCACGCAGTTGTATCATGTAGTAAGCGTAAGCGAAACGGAAAATCCCAACTGGCAACCCACAACAACAAACAGTTAATGCCGCCATCCAACCAACAAACAAACACAAAAAACACGGGCTCTTGTATTCCATTGCCGGATACCTAAGTTTCAAAGCCACGGCTCCCAAGGTGGACATTTCCTTCCTAGTGGCTGGTGTTGTCACTTGGGTCAGAGCCAATCAGATGCTGCATGGGCAAATGCTGCATACCCCCCCTTCGTGAATGGCATGTTAAGAAAAGAGCATGAGCTGATTATCTTCTTGACACTCTTCTTGATAGTCAGCTTCCCTCCCCAATTGCTGGTTTGGAGCCTGGTGGTTTTGTTATTTTTTTGGGGGGGTCCCAAGTCCCCTCCACATCCGCCAGGGGTTCAAACAAACAAACCACCAATCCGAACAATAATTCCCTGATTTTTCCTCAAAAACGCGTGTTGTTTCCCGATTAACAAAGCTGAAAAGGATACTCTAAACACCCACCCACACACACACATCCGAGTAGTGGAAAGCTGAGATTGGGAAGACAGCAACTGTGTGGAAAAAAGGCATGAAGCTCCAGGACGCTGCCTCAAACGCAAAGGAGTCTCCGCCCGGTGGTGGTGGGGATTGGGGGTTGCCTTAGCCCATAAGGGGCAGGGGCGTGGGAGTTCCAGACGGTTGGGGTATGCTGACTTGATTCCTGAGTTGCTTTGCATTTCCGTAAGCCACGAAAAAAAGAAGGAACAACACAAAAAAAAACAAGAACAAACAAAAATAACAACATAAAGAATAAAGGGGAAAAAAAGAAGAGCAAGGAAAAAACAAAGAACCAAGAAAAGGAAAACAAAAAAAGGCCTCTGGATTCCCATTCTCCGCCGCCAGGTGCAGCGCCGTGCGCCCCCCGGCCATGTCGATCGACAAGCCGCCGCCCATCAGCCTGGCTTGCGACTTGCGACGAGTCGGGGGTTGGACCTGTGGGGCCGTGGGGCCGTGGGGCCGTGGGGCCGTGGGGCCGTGGGGCCGTGGGGCCGTGGGGCCGTGGGGCCGTGGGGTCTGGGCCGTGGGGCTTAGGGTTTAGGGGTGCCTCCAAAGCTTTTTGGTACTTACCTTGCCAGCTTACCCACGAGATTTCCATTTTTTTTGGTGATACCATGGTCATATTCTCAGAACCATGCTTCAAGAACTTAGAAGGCGGAGATCCGCAGCTGTTTCTGGTTGGGATCGCCCCTGTCTAACCTTCATCTACCCGGATTTTGATTGTTGTTCCTCTGGGGCCTGTGCCTCCATGTGCTTGCTGAAGCCCCCTGGAAAAAAGAAGCAAAGTCAAGTACCCGCAGTCTCCTTCTGACCCTTAGAAAATGGTTGGTCATTACCCAAAATAACCATTTTGTTCATTTACTTCTAGGCTGGAACTAGGACCCAGCAAAAATAAAATAAAATTGCCTGGTGAGTGGGAAACAAAGGGACCCCAAAAAAGCAAAAACAAAACAAAGTAGAGCTAATTCTGGGGAAGACCTGTTCGCCCCCTGAAAAGGAAAAAAACAGTACAATCCAGTATTACCCCACAATTATGGGGCATTGACCTGTTTTTTAAAGGGTCATGGAGACTCTAGGTAGTGACAAGTCGCCTTTAAAACCAACAAGGTAAATAACAAAAACAAATTCTGAAGCAAATGAAGAAGACAAAAGGTAGTGATAGATTGTCTTTAAAACCAACAAGGGAAACTAACAAATAGGGCATTTCAACAAACGGAAGTGTGGGGAATGGGGGAAACGCGGACTTACTCCCTGGATAAAAGTAGAACACGTCTCCTTCTCTGGACTTCTGTTCCATGTTGGGAGCAATGGTACCCTGAACAACCATGGAACCCAGATCCTTCTTCCTTTTGAGGCCAAAATAGTACTCGTCAGGTTCCATGCTTGTGGGTGGTTGCTATGTCTCTCAGGATGAATGTATACCCCCATATATGAACTCTTGGTGTGAACCCCGTTTGTCAATAGGAAATCAGTCCCAAAAAATCCAAAATGGCCCATGAGTTCATGTATGGATCTTTACAGCAGCCTTTGAATGTCTCCACTTTCCCCGAGGCAAAGGATGACATGGGAATTTGCGGCTTGACCAAGTATGATGTTCTTGTCCCAGAACTCCTCAGGAATACAAGGTGCTCACCTTTTGGGTCACCTTACTAAACATGGTTCCAAAAACAGGGGCTCCTCATTTTCCCCCTTAAAACACCACCCCCAAGGGCTACTCACCATTAATGGCCCAAAAAGGTGTTTAAAACCACCAAAAAGGGACGTATAGGGACCCCTGAAAAAGGGGGGACCAGGTTCTTTTAAAGGGACCGGGTCCATATCGACCGGTTCCATGTGAATTCTGGGGTAGAGCCTCAGTTGATGCTTCAACAAAAAGTCGAAGCTTCTTATGTGTTTGCCACTAAAATCGTCTTCCCCCCCCCCCCCCCCAAACAAACCCAAAACAAAAACACGTCCAGGAACTCAAAAAGTGAAGGATAGATCAGGTCGATTCGTTTTGATATTTTTACGCCCTTAGCCTCCGAGCCTGGCGCGCGCATCGCGGGTTGGGAAGAAGAGGTCCGCGCGGGCATCGATGAGGAGCTGAACCACCTCGTGGGGCCATTCCGCTCCATTCTTCCATTCCATTCCATGAAATTTCCATTCAAATCCATCAAAAGCCAGGAATCCGTTGAGTCATTCATTCATTCCATTTCATTCATTGCTGTCTTCTCTTTCCTTTCATTCCCCCCAAAAAGGTAGGGGTTCCTGTTGGCCTTCCCGGCACCGAGCCTCAACAAAGACCACTGGAAAAGGAGGAGGTCCGAAACGAATGGCACCCTGAAACTCCCTGCCGATGGACAAAAATCCATGTCCCACCAGTTGGTGGTTCGCCAACTGGTAGGAAGCTCTGATTTCGTCGACATGTCTAAGGGTTTTTGTATTTCACCCTGGGAATACACCCACTGGGCATTGACCCCATTTAGGCACATCTCCGGATAAAAACCGTGTTGTTTCGAACCATTCTGGATAAAAACCCCAGGGGTGGAATCCCAGGGTGTCCCTCAGAACATTGCAACCTTTAGGAGCTCACCGGGCTGAGGGGAGTCCTGGAAGCGTTTGTCGAAGCTCCAGGCAGGGAACTGGTCGGTTCCACAAAAATGCCAGCAGCAACTTTTGAGGGCCTCCTATACCTCAGTTGCTTGGTTGACGATGGAAGGGGAGCGGGAAAAAAAAAGCAGTTAAGTGGGGATTTCAACCACTAAACCAGAATAAGCAAAAATGTAAAATGTTTCCCAACAACAACCATGGTTGCAAGGACCCAGGAATAAAAGGTTAATCGTTTGGGGTGCCTGAAAATGGACCAAAACAGGACAAGCAAAAGGCCACAACGTCGGCTTTGGGCAAGTGAGATAACAACCTACATTGGGGACCTGAACAATCAGCTGTTCCAAAAGGCAACCCTGAAGACCAAACTGCTGGACGTACCTCGGCAAGATGGTTGGCAAACGCAGTTGGACAGTCAGAAAATGCAGCATCTTGGATCTCCATCTTTGCATTTTTTCATGTGGCGTGCCCTGGTCCCTGGATTCGTGGCAAGAAAACAAACACTAAGGAATCGATTCGATTCTGCTGGGTGACATTGGTGACGTTAGCTTCCATTTGCTTTTGTTGCCCCCTGGCAAAAATGGAAGAATCATATGTTCAGTGGTGAAATATCGATTCATTTAAAACCAACGTGGGGGGAAATCAACACATATGCAGTTCAGCACATGGAAGCTAGTGCCAGGTTGCCCTGAAGCCAGCTGCTTTTGGCTTCATCTTTTTGGGCTAAATATTCATGTTCGCACGTTCTTGCGGTCTGGCGTCACGAATGACGCAAGGGTGCTATTACCTCCATGAAACACGTAACATGGAAAAAACCATGGCCATGCGGCCTGACTCACGCCACCTGACTCACGCAAACAAAACCCGGCTCCAAGGAGCTGACTTGCCCCAAGGAGCTGGAAACAAAACGTCAACATGGAACATGGGAAAGCGCCAAACGGTCCAATGGCTTCCACTGAAGTACCACATAAGATGTCATCTGCACAATCAAAACCTGGTGTTAAAATGGTCTACCCGGTCTACCAGGAACCATGTAAAGAACTAAGGCGGCCGCATTTGTGGCTGGGACTGTCCCTTGCTAACCTTCATCTACCAAAGGGTTTGAGCACGTGGCTCTCCTGATGGTTCCTTTTGACAAGCGTCTTTGGTTTCCAAGGACCGGCTAGGCACCGCGTGATTTTTTTTTGGCCATCTGACTCAGGTGGTAAAATCAGAAACTGGTACCAAAATGCCCAACCCAAAACCCCGAAACTGTGAGACCTTGACCAAAACATGGACCAAAATGGACCAACATTTGGACCTAGTTCGTGTGGACAGTACTGCGGGTACAGGATCCCACGCCAAGAGGTGTCCTTTTAGGGGAAATAAATGGCCCATGAAACCTCCAGAGAAAGGGCCATCAAATCTAGGTCCTCCAGCAAAGACGTTAGAATAAGGCTACCCTTTTTTCTGTAATCTATTTTAGCAGGGGAACCCTCCCCCAAAAACTTGGGTAAAAAAACACTACTGGTGGACCTAGTATTCTACCGAAACAACCAAAAACTTCCATTTGGTTAAGACCCCTGGAAAAAATATATATTTCCAGTAGTGATAAATTCCTTTTAAAACCAACAAACACACATCAATGATATTCTTAAGCAAATGGAAGAAAAGGACACTAAACCCTAAAAGGCTGGGAGCCACCAAGAAACCATGGCCATCTATTCTACCACAACAACCAAAAAGGACACGTCTCTGGCGCCCGTCTCTGGCGCCTCCGCATCTCCCTCCACAGCGGCGTAGTGCAGCGGCGTGTGCCCGTCCTTGTCGCAGCAGTCGATGGTCGCCCGGTCCGCCAGCAACTGCTTGGTGCAGCCTGGGGAGCCGTACCTGAATGAAAAGGCTGTCCGTGCAGCGTCTGAACCGGACAAAAACATCGCCTCCCCACTGTGGATGGACAAAATCCATGGTTGAAAGACAAAAAACATTGCCTCCCGGCTGTGGATGGACGAAATCCGGTACGCACCACCTGGGAAAACTCAGGAATGAGACGAATCCCCTGTAAATACACAAGAGTCAATGGTTTCAATCATGCTTTCAAAGTGGTGCAGGATTTTGTCCATCCACAGTACGATCATTGCAAGAGGCACCAAGGGTTTTCCACCCAACCAAAAGATCAGCCTCAGGACCCATGATCGTCACATGGGAAGATCTCCAGCGCCAAAGTTGGACGAGCCTTGGGTGGGGGGTCCCTGAGCGGAACACCTGCCACCAATGCCTCCAGTGATCAAATACACCGTGCGCAAATCCCAGCATAAGACTTTCCGAGCTTCCTTTCCAACCACCGCGTCATTCTAAGCGCTTCCAAATCTGGTCTTGACTTTGGAAGGATAAACCTCCATGCCCCTCAACGGCCGGCGTCCGACAGATCTTGTCACAAGCAACAAAACTAGGTCCTCCAGTAGAGAGGTTTGAATAAGGGTACCCTTTTTCCTGTAGTCTATTTTAGTAGGGAAACCCTCCCCCAAAAAAGGGTAAAAGGGCATGAAGAGTGAACACAGCTTTGCTCAAATTTGTCTGATTGCGTCTTCTGACTAGGGCAACGATGGAAACTTGGGTTTGCTGGCTGGGAGCAACTACTCTTCAGCTGAGGGGCATGGTGGCCACGTGCAACGCGGAGCCAACGCCTCGCCAGATCGCGCAAGTGGAGGCTGTGGGTATGGGTCATAATTGAACCACAAGGATATGGACCACAGGGGTATGCCTAGAGTCTCCATGACCCTTACCCAAAATAATGAGGTCATTGATCCGTAGTCCTTATTCCCATTTACTCGGCCAACCCACTTCGCGGTTACCCTATTTTTGACCCACTGCCATATCCAAAAGGCAAAAAAATAGCCGAAGCTGAGCAGAAAGGGTTGAACATGCACGCGCAGCATCCGCTCTGATTGCTTTGGGATGCTCAGTGGCAGCATCAGCTCAGTCAGGTCTATTGAAGTTCTTATCCACAGGGCTGTCCGATCGCCCTCTGGAGCAACATAAATTCAGGGGCAGCAGGGCAAATGTGTTTTGATCACCTTGCCGAGCCATCACCCAGACTCCGAAAAGAGGGCCACATCAAACAAAAGCGGTCAGGGAATGAAACAAAAAACATTGTGAACATGGTTTCTTGTCTGGGCGAACTTTCGTTCACAAACCAAAAAGACAGGGCCAAGAAAGAACGTTGACCATGCGTGAGGTTGCAAACTCAATTTCTTTTCTTGTGGTCGAAACCATTTGCCCAGAGTTGTTTCCTAGAGTGGCACCCATGCACCCTTGTAGTTGGTCTAGCCTCCATTTGCTTAAGCCCCCTTTAAAAAAACTATAGTATTGATATGTCGCCTTTGAAACCAACAGGGCAAAAACACCTTAAGCAAATTCAAATGGACGTTGTAGTTGGTCTAGGGGAACACCTCCCAAGGAAGCACCCGTTGGCCGCTAGGTTGCCGTTGCTGTCGGGCCACTGGACATGAGGCTGTTCCCGTCGGCACGGCGAAGCACCGCCAGCATCTGCAGCACGTCATCGTTGGCGATGGCACTTAACAGCTCCGCTTTCTCCTGGGCTGTCCGTTTTCAGATCCGCTACTCCAGAAAAACCTTGCGGTTTAGGGGGTTCAAGTGAACCCTCTACTGAACAAGTCGGTATATTCCACGGAAAACCTGGGTTTTCAGAACTGGCCTGTGCTCAGATCCCATGAAAAAAGTGAATCACTTGTGGAATGAATTCGGAAAACCCAACCACTAAACCACCCAAAAAAAATATAAAAGCTAAGTGGAACCCAATGGGCCGGGAGCCAGGCCGGGAAGTTCAGCTCGTTTTCGGCATTGGTTTGGAGGGGAGACCCCCGACGGGCCTCAAGAAGGGGGTTCAAACCAAATCCAAAGCAATCAGCGCCAAATAGGGATTTTCCAGAGAAACCCCGAGGGAAACCAGGTACCTAGAGTCTCCATGACCCTGTAAAAATGGGTCATGGACCCCAATATTTTGGGTAATGACCAACCATGTTTTAAGGGTCAGAAGGAGACTCCAGGTACATAAGTCCTTGCTTGGCTGCATATCCCATGCCTCTGGGGGCAGCTCAAAGGTGCCAGCCTGCCATCAACATAGAAGCTAGGCTGCGCGGGCACGCACTGAGTCTGTAGAGAGGTTAGAGAAAGGGTACCCGTTCTTTCTGCTGTAGTCTAATTTAGTAGGGTAACCCTCCCAACCAAAAAAGGGGTGAGAAAGGGCACCTAGCTGGGGGACCTAGTTGAGGTCTGGGGGGCATAAATGGCATAGGAGCTGAGGGCTCCTGCTGCTCGGCTGCGCCGCCCTCGGCCATGGCGAATGAGTTGCTCGCGCCGAGCCGTGGAGCCGTCGCGTCCGTCGCGTCCGTCGCGCTCGAGCCCCCCACTTGGGGCCAAAACCCCCGTCGGTCGGTGAGCAAGGAGCAGCGATGGGCAAGGATTGGTATGCTGAGAAGGTCGCCATGAATACAAGGACCCCCACCCCACATCCTCAATACTGTTTTTCTTTGTCTCCGGGGTTCCCAAACAAAAGAAAAGATAACAGATCCAGGGTTCCAACACATCCGCCGCAACTCGGCTGCCGCCTCCTCCTCCAACACCTGGGAGCGGCTCTCCATCGCCTCCATGGCCCGGTCCTGACGATCCGCGTCCGCGCGAAGCTCGGCTCCCGTCCGCGTGACTGGCCCAAACAAAGTGGACGGCAGTGAGCCTGGGATCCGGATGGCCTCAAAAACAGAACGTCTGAGGTGTCTCAGACAAAGAGAGTTTTTGGGGATTGGCCACGCAAATTCGCCCAAAGCCTACAAAGTATGAAGTCCCCAAACGGTTGGTTTTGCCACTCCAAATGGCCAACCCCTACAAAAGTATGAAGTACCAAACTTTGGGGCGGGTGGTCATTAGAACGACCCAAGCCCAAAATGTGACTCAACTCCACAAGCTCAGGAAGTGAGCTGCTTCTAAACCACTGCCAATGCCGGCATCAACAACATTGCGCAGGGAACACACAACAATATGTGGAGAGAAGCTGAAAGGTGAAGAGCTCAACAAAAATCATGGGTCCTGCAAGCGAATTGCGCCTCGAAGGTATGTTCAATTTCGCAGCACGGAGCAAAGACTGCATGGTTGATCTCAGCGTCGAGGGGTGACTTTTTCAAAGGGAAGCTTCCAAGCATGAGGAGACATCATGAAGGCGGCTGAAAAGGCCTACCCATAACATCCGATGAAACGCAAGCCAGTGCATAGTGGACGATTTTTAATGTTTGGCTGCAAACCGGCAAGCATGGCTCAACACCTTCAGCAGAGCCTCACCCACCCACCCCACACGAACCCCCCCAGTGGGTGGAAAAAAAACAAAGGGAAGCGAAAAAAGAAAAGGAAAACAGGGGAGCTGATTCTGGGGAAGTATTGACATCAAACGAGCGAAATCTTAGAGGCCCAGCCTGCGGGCACAAACTCGCAGGCTGGGAGGCAAGAAGTGTAAGCAAATGAACATGTCACAATATAGAAATATGTAGCTGACATATATGTATATATATATATACATACCTAAAATTATGTGTATGTATATATATATATACATATATATATAAATGTATATAATTAGATATTCTTTGGGAATTCTTCTTGCAATGCCCGGGCTGAGGACCGCCCGAACAGGTCTGGCCAAAAAAGCCGCCGCAGCTCGAAACGGAGCGGAGTCCGTCCTCATTTTGCGCCGACTCTCTGCGCAGCTCGTCACAGGTGGAGCTCAAGGTCTCCAGCTGGGCCTGGCGAAGCAAGTGTCTCGAGCTTCAAACTTGGATCGCGTCAATAAATGGACTCACCGGGCGCCTGGTGTCTCCCACCCGTTTTTACTGGAAGCGCCGTTGATGTCTGCCCCCCTTTTTGTTGGGTCTGGGTAAATGATTTTGACTAGTGAGTTTGGACTAACTTGCCCCGGATGGGACCTGGAAAATAAAAGGCACCTGGGCGAAAGTGGACATTTGGGCAGAGTTGTTTTGGGTGCTCGGAGCCTACACACAACGCGAGATGCCCGCGAGATGCCTATGCGAGCCTACTCCCCTCACCTAGATTGCCAACGCGAACATCATGCAGTTCCCTTTTTGTATAAACCCTTGATTCCGGAAATAAAATAATGCCCCGTTGCCCCTTTGGACATTTAGCCACCGACCCCGCCCTTGCCAGTGACCTCGATCACCCAGGCAGTTGGTTTTCCGAAGGACAAGCATACCAGCGCATACACGAACAATCAACGTCAATCGAAACCAACCACCAAACGAATCCACAATACCTCAGAAACTGTGCTACCCTTATAATTTTCCAATAAAGCTCTACACAAATCATGGGCTTCAGACGGCGCGTGGACAAGTCCAAAGCCTTTAAGCTTGAATGAACATACCCATGAGGGGCAGATAATGCTGGCGGTATATATGGCAAGGCTCCTGCGGAATGCTCGATATCACTTACTACCTGAAAGCGCCGTTGACAACAGAGCCAGAGGCCGCAGAGCAACTAATCCAACAACCCTCAGGGTATGGATGCCAATTCCACTGAACCTGCTTCCCACAAGTCGTCTGTCCCGAGCGGCTAAAGCATGGGTGTCAAGATGATATGCGTTCTGCCTTCACCACCCACACTCGGCCACTGGGCGTCAGGTGCAATTGGCCATGTTCTGGTGATTTGCTCGGCTTGGTCTTGCCAAACAACGTATGATAACTCTAGACCGTACACCATGAAGAAATCATTCCAAAGTGCATATCTTGGTACAGTGTACGCACATGTATATATATATATATACATATGTGTCCAAGCGTGTGTGCACGTATAAATCAACTGATGTTGCGTCCGTGTGCGCGCGCATGCACGGTTCTATGCAAATGCATTTAGATTTACTCATATGTGCCTGTGAGCGTCTAACGCAAGGTACTGTCCTAAGATGTCGCGTTCGTAGCGTGCTGCAACTGGCATGAAACGCCACGTGGCCATGTGATGTCCTCTGTGGCACGTCTCAGCTCCAAAGCTCCGCGCCTGCAATTCCCGATTCCGCTTCCTGAGCTCCTGAGATCTGAGATCGAGCCTCGCCTTGGTGCCTTGTAAGTCAAGCCTTGGGTGGGGGGGGGAGGTCCTGCACCTGTTGCCACAAGCTTCCAAACCAAGGATGCGTGGAAAAAGAACTGATGGGCATGTGATTGGAACAGCGAGGTTTTTTTTCCCATCCACTCAGACCCCCTCGCTGGTGAGGCGAGGCATCATAGGCTTCGGCAAAGAAAGCCGCCGCATGGCTTACAAGGAAGGTTCCTATCCAGCCGCTGTCTCCCAGGGGCCGGGAACTATGTGGGTGTGGGTCAATATTCTGGTGTGGAACGTTCCGCGGTGACGCGGACGTCTGGAACGAGTCAGTTACGTAAGGCTGGTTGTTCCGGACCTCTGGGAAGACATGTGTGGAGTCCTCAAGCACACGTGAGCGAGAGGCAAAACCTAAGACTACTTTGGGCGGGGGCTTCGCTATATCGTTCTGCAATGTTTCAGACACTGGTGTGTTTATGTCAAGGAAGGGTGGAAGGGGGAAAGAGAAAGAATGGAGGAAGAGAGCAGAGGGAAACTGGGAGGAAGAGAAAGCAGGAGGAGAAAGGACGAAGGGAAGAAGGATGGGGAGGAAGGGATAAAGGAATCCAGGGAGTAAGGGAGCAAGGAAGGATGGGGCAAGGGAAAAAGGAGGGTGGAAGGGAAGGGAGGAAGAGGAAGGGAGGAAGAGGAAGGGAGGAAGAGGAAGGGAGGAAGAGGAAGGGAGGAAGAGGAAGGGAGGAAGAGGAAGGGAGGCAGGGCAGAAGAGGGAGGGAGGCAGGGCAGAAGAAGAAGGAAGGGAGCAAGGGAAGAAGGCAGGAAGGCAGGAAGGCAGGAAGGCAGGAAGGCAACCCACAAGCTCCATGACATGCTTTTTGACGCTGGTTCCCGACCGCCCACAAGCATGGGAGGTGGAGCAGGGCCCACACGCTGACCACCACTGATTGATGGGTAAGCGGTGGCCCGCCTTTTGTGCTTTCCGGGTGTCGTTGAGGTATCGTTCAGAGTATCGTTCAGACAGCCCTCCAAAACCAGAAAATTCTGCCCATTCTCTCAGTCCAGGGCATGTGCCAAAACCAGCTACACGTTGCGTGCGTGCGCCTCGCAGCCCGGACTGCTGTCCGGTGACTTGGTAGTTGCAAGCGAGACTTATAAACAACTTGAAGCACAGAAGCACCATGCGAGCACGAGGGGTGTGGTTTCGGTGTCGTTTTTGGTATCGTTTTGAGCAAGCAGTACTTCGGTGGCCAATGCAGTTCACACCCCCCGAATGATCCGAAAAGGTGTTTTCGACGCTCTAAAATTACTTTTGGGTATGGTTTGGCGTGCCGACTGTGGCGCCTGCGGGTGCAAGCAAGAAGCATGAGCAGTAGGAAGGAGAGCAATCGGTGGCCCAGAATGCAGTTCACACCCCCAGAATGATCCGAAAATGTGTTTTCGACGCTCTAAAATTACTTTTGGGTATGCTTTGGCATGCCGACCGTGGCGCCTGCGGGCGCAAGCAAGAAGCGTGAGCAGTAGGAAGGAGAGCAAGCAGTGCTTTGGTGGCCCAGAATGCAGTTAACACTCCGCGAATGATCGGAAAAGGTGTCTTCGACGCTCCAAAATTACTTTTGGCAAGAAGCATGAGCAGTAGGAAGGAGAGCAATCGGTGGCGCAGAATGCAGTTCACACTCTTCGAGTGATCCGAAAAGGTGTTTTCGACGCTCCAAAATTACTTTTGGGTATGGTTTGGCGTGCCGACTGTGGCGCCTGCGGGTGCAAGCAAGAAGCATGAGCAGTAGGAAGGAGAGCAATCGGTGGCCCAGAATGCAGTTCACACCCCCGAATGATCCGAAAAGGTGTTTTCGACGCTCCAAAATTACTTTTGGGTATGGTTTGGCATGCCGACTGTGGCGCCTGCGGGTGCAAGCAAGAAGCATGAGCAGTAGGAAGGAGAGCAATCGGTGGCCCAGAATGCAGTTCACACTCCCGAGTGATCCGAAAAGGTGTTTTCGACGCTCCAAAATTACTTTTGGGTATGGTTTGGCATGCCGACTGTGGCGCCTGCGGGTGCAAGCAAGAAGCATGAGCAGTAGGAAGGAGAGCAATCGGTGGCCCAGAATGCAGTTCACACTCCGAGTGATCCGAAAAGGTGTTTTCGACGCTCCAAAATTACTTTTGGGTATGGTTTGGCATGCCGACTGTGGCGCCTGCGGGTGCAAGCAAGAAGCATGAGCAGTAGGAAGGAGAGCAATCGGTGGCCCAGAATGCAGTTGACACCCCGCGAATGATCCGAAAAGGTGTTTTCGACGCTCCAAAATTACTTTTGGGTATGGTTTGGCCCTTCCAGCAACCTCCAAATAGCAAGCCGGGGAACGCAGTTTTGAGTAACAAGCCGGGGAGTGTAGCTTTGGTCAAAAGCACCCAATAGGCGCATCTTGAGTGTCCAGTGGCTTGTGGGTATGGTTTGGCTGGCTTGTGGGTATGGTTTTGCCCTTCCGGCAACCACAAAAACAAGGCGTGCAGTTCCGGAACCCAAAGACCAACCCCGCCTTGATAAAGTGATCGACGCACATTTTGACCGTGACTCATGAGCCAGCGTCAATATTTGCTGTGTGGGCTGTATTCATTCTACTTTAAACGAGTCCCCTATGGTTCTCCGCGTTTCGCGCGTGGGTGCAGTGCCCGAAGAACCCTCTGTTCGGGTCTCGCGAGCGCGCAAAGCGCCCAATGAACCCTCTGCGAGGATTGCGCGTGTCAAAGCGCCCTCCCTGCGACGCCGTGCGGATTTGGAAAGTGCCCGGCGAACCCCCTGCAGTGAGCAATTTCTCGGGCAGCACTCTTGGAGCTCGGGCTCTTCTCCAAAGCCTTCCGGATCACAGATCTGCTCGGGCAAGTCAGGCCTTCCCATCCTCCTGCAGCAGCAGATCTCTGAGGAGCAAGCGCAAGCCCGCCAAGGCGTCCGCGGCCTGGCCCGTTGCGGGCCCTTTGTGTGCGCGGAAGGATGTGCGCTGAAGGAGCTGCGCGTGTGGTTGAAAAAGCAAACGCACTAGGTAGGCCTCACATTGGCTGCTCCGGGACGTTCACGGAGTATCGATGGGGTGTCGTTTTGGGTCTCGTTCTGGGCGCGTGTAGTGTCACGAAAAAAACAAACTTGCTATAGCTAGAGCCAAGCAAGCGCACAAGAGCCTTTTCTACCTTGCGGTAGTCATGTGATCAGCGGACTAGACTATGCTTCATGCTCCCAAGCATTGGCGGCTTTGCTTGCTGGCTGCAACTTCCAGGTCGCGATTCGCAACTTTCAGTACCAGCGCAGTACGCAAGTTACACTTTGGCAGCTCCAGCTCGAAGGTCGCAGCGTGCGCCGGTGCCTGCGGGTGCGTGTGCGCGGGTGCGTTAGCGATCCATCTGGGTGGGCCCATCTCGTGCACACATGTGCCCACCATGCATTGCCGAGGAGCATTGACAGGAGCTGTCATGGCAACTTACAGCTTGGGGCAAAAAATGCTCACACAGTGCAAAATAGAAGCGCGAAGCGCCAGTTGCACGTCATGCGACATTATCGTTTTTGGGGCTTCGCTATATCGTTCCTGAGGAAAAATACAAAACAAGCAACGCGAAATCGCCGAAGACATATTTTATGACGAGAGAGTTTAGCCTTTTGCTCGTTCATTTAGTGTAAGATGGATAGATGGATGGATGAATGAATGAATGGGTAGATGGATGGATGAAGCGATCAGGGGCGTGCGGCCGTACGATACGGCACCTCCTTGCAGGCTTCTTCGGCGGCATGGCGGGCCGCGTGAGAAGCGTAGCTACTGTGCATGTGGACTTGGTGGCAAATTGCTCCGCTGTGTCTGGAACACGTCTGGAACGGGTCTGGAACGGGTCTGGAACGGGGTCTGGAACGGTTACGCGAGTGGCTTGCACTTGGTAGCAAGCTGCATGTAAACATGGTCGTTTCAACAATGTGACGACCGAGAGCGGTATCGAACCGTTACCGTATCGTATCGAACAGATTGCGGCGGGGTTGACCCTTAACATTCACAGGCCGTTCCAAAAACACATCTGTCAACAGGACCGCTGCTTAATTCCATCCAAGTCCCAATGATTACAAGCCACGCAGCCCCAACCACCAAAGCTCGACAAGCAAACCCCATCGTTAGCACCTCAGGCTTCTCTCGAACACCAGCCTTAACGCGTAGCATTTGGCAAAACAAAGGGGGGAGTCAATAACCTACCAAATCACCTTACCGTAAATACTCTAAACTAGACATAAATACATAAACAAGGTCTGGAACGGAAGGTCTGGACATGTTTCTAGGCAAGGTCTGGAACGGAGGTCTGGAACGGAGGTCTGGATCGCATGTGGGTTCCGGACCCTGTTCCGGACCTTATAAATTGACTCGCAGCCATGTAGGTCCTCCAGTGGAGAGGTTGGAATAAGGGTACCAACTTTTATCTGTAGTCTATTTTAGTAGGGGAACCCTCTCCCAAAAAAAGGGTAAAAGGGCACTACTGGGGGACCTAGAATATAGCACCTTCTTGGTCAAGTGTAAGAGCCCACTTTCGTGGGTGTCCCGCATTGGGGCGCCTGCAGGCGTTTACGCCACAAGCGCCTGAGTCAATTCAATAAATCGTGGGGTGCTGTTAACTCATGACCATAGAAGAATGAAGTTGTCGGGCAATGAGCCAAACAGTTATTTCATTTGTATAGGCTGTATAGGTATGGCTGCTTCTTCTTTTTGAGGGTACCCTTCTTTGGGAAATTGAGGTGGTCAACCAAAAAACAACTTTGGTCAACATGAACAACCCCGACCACAGGACAATCGTTTCTTTGTTCATCCACAATTATCTGGTCCCAAACCTTGACCCCTCACATTTGTCGAGTATTTCACCCATGTTCGGCACTTGGTTGACGTTGGAAGGGGAGCAAAAGTTTGAATTTTAGCAGTCAAGTGAGGATTTCCAGCTGAACCACAAGCAGCAAAAATGGTTCAAATGTTTCCCAACAACCATGGAGATGGGTTTGGGGTTGGGGAAATCCTCGAAGTGTCCACATGGCGCAAGGGAAGCCTTGCGCAAAGTACTCTACTCACAAAACCGCTTGGACCAAAATAGTAACTTCAAACTGTGTGCCACTCACATGGTCCCGGAAAAAAAAAAAGTTATAAAGTCCAGCACCTCTTGTGTGTGCGGGTTACTCTGGCCCGGCCCAGGCCGTGACTAACTATAAAGTCCAAGAACTCAGGATGTGGACTAGGACCTCCAGTAGAGAGGTTGGAAAAAGCGTACCAACTTTTTTTCTGTAGTCTAATTTAGTAGGGGAACCCTCCCAAAAAAGAAACGGTAAAATTGCACTACTGGGGGACCTTGTGGAGGTTTGCGCACCTCTCATGGAACTTCCAGCAGGGATACTTACATTATACACCTGAACATTGCAACTTCTAAATGGTGGTTTCCAACTTTTCCTTTTTTGGTGTTGAAAAAAACAACATGTTTCAAATGGTTGCAAAATGAAATTATTTTAAGGAGCCCTGTTCAGTCACCCACGGGAATCCGACCGACCAATCGCATGGCGTCCTCGGATTCCTTGCGCTGCAGCGCCACCTGGTCGTTCAACCGCAGCAGCCGCTCCTCGCTGCGAGTAGCAGCGAGGCTGCCGTCCGCCTGGGGGAAATGAGCGAGCGGCAAAGCCTTGGGTGCTTATCGTTTCTTGGGGTTTCGCTATACTTCCATTTGCTTGTTTTTGCCCCCTGGAAAAAAAACACATATTCCCAGTAGTGAACTCGTTTCCCTTTTAACCATCAGGGGAAATGAAACATACTCTTCAGCAAGCGGAAGTAGACCGTTCCTGACAGTTTCTGACACGCGTCTTTTGGGGCTGCACTAAACCACCAACTTTTCTTGTCTCAAACAGCAGAGCCTCCTTGAAATGGTGGAATTTCCTGCTTTCCCTGCCCTCGCCCCCGGATAATTAGACCCGAGCTTATTTTTAAGGGGGCGGCCTGGCTCAAAATGGAAGAACACCCCCCATATTCTTAGACTGGGGTTGACTAATCTGCGAAATCAACATTGCTCAGCGGCCCCCTTAGGAAGTCAGCAGTCAAAGGCGACCATTTTGGGGAGCCTTGGCTAAAAACTTACCCCTTGAAACTCCCTGCGCCCTGGGGAAGTTAATCTTTTACAGACATATAGCCCATGTTACCCAAAAAGTTGAGAAGTTGTGCTTTTAAGAGGTAAGTTGACTAAAAACGGTGGCCGAAGGAAACCAAAAAGTGGAAAGGGGCATGTGATGGCAAAAAAAGACTCGTCGTTCAGGAATGGATATGGCACAGGGGCAATCAAATGTAGTCTCCAAGACGCGTTGAAATAAAGAAAAGGGAACTGTACTGTTAAAAGAGGGGTTAACGCCTGGCGCCCCAATCGATGTTCAGGTCATATGGGCAATGACTGTTGGACAAGGGGGTTCATTCAGGTCTCATTCACATCTTTCTGAAGGGTGTGGCAAGCAAATACCGTCCACGACTGGGGGGGTTGGGCCGCGTCTTTAATTTTATGAAAGTCGGGTGCCGATCAGATCCTTACTTCCATTTGCTTAACCTCGCTGGAACAAATGAGAGAATATGTCCAGTAGTGGTGGATTCTCGTTAAGACCAACATGGAACAAATAAACAATATTATTCAGCAACTGGAAGATAACAAGACAATTACTGTAGACCATCCAGAGTCGCGAGCATTCCGACAGGGCGATTGGCCAAAATGAGTTGCCCCATGATCCGGCAGTGTGTGTCTCAAAATGAGCGGACCCAAATGCCTGTTGTCTCCTTGATTTCTCGTTAAAACCCCCAAAACAAGATACCACCGAAGAAGGTACAGCGTCCATCCACAGTGTTCTTCACCCACGGCAGTGATTGTGTTGCAGGTAGCTGGAAGGCAAAATTTCCGAATACTGTTGACTTCTTGCTTGCCGTGGCTTTGTGCGGGCACAAAGACGAACATTTCACGAGACCTACGGTAGTGATTGTCTTGCAGGTAGCTCTGTCTTCGATCTTTGTCGCTAAATGACCCCACAAGTGCTTGGTTTCTCCCTGGTTTCTCCTTCCAACCCCAAAAATGGGATACCAAAGAAGGTACCCCGTCCATCCACCGTGTTTTTCCGTCTTTCGCCCATTTTCCGGGGAACTGACTGAGCTGAGCTCGCGCCCTCGAGGCCGGAGCCGCGCGCGGAGCCGCGCGCGGAGCCGCGCGCGGAGCCGCGCACGGAGCCGCGCCGCGCCTTTTCCGCCGCGAAGTGCCGCAGCTCGTGGCACTCCGCGCGGCAGTCCTCGAGCTCGCCTCGGCTTCCGCCACGTGGCGCGTCAGGTGAGAAAGGCAACCCGTGGGAGCTGGTTTTCTTGGGGAAAAGGGGAAACAAAAGCCCTTTTTTTTTGTCCCGGGGGGGGGAGTTGTTGGGAAAAGTTCGTTGGAGGGGAAAGTTTATTTTTTGGGGGGGAACTATGGGGAGACCAAAAGAGGAAACAACAAGTCTTTTTTGGGAGGGGGGGGGAAACATTCGGAGACGAACAAGGGAAAAAAATGCCTTGTTTTTGTTTGGGGCGGGGGGGGGGGGGTTATGGGGAAAAGTTTGTTGGAGGCAACAGTTGTTTGATTTTTGGGAGGAATTATAGGGAAAAGTGTTTTGGAGGGAAAAGTTCCTCTTATATTTTTTGAGGGGGGGGGGAGGAAGTATGGGGACAGGGGGAGCAACCAGTTTTTTTGGGAGGGAGACGAAAAGGGGAAACCAAAGGCCTTGGGTTTTTTTTGGGGGTGAGTTGTGGGGAAACCAAAAGAAACAAAAGGCTTGTTGTTTTTTTTGGGGGGGGTTCATGGAGAGACCAAAAGGGGGAAACCAGATATTTCAGGGAGTGCCCCATGCTGAGAGTCTCCATGACGATTTGAAAATGGGGTCAGTTGAATGAAAGGGGTCGTCAAACCCGTTGTGAGGAGGAGAATTCAGGCATTTACGAATGGCGGCTTCATGATCAAGGAGAGAGAAGGAGCCGCAGCAAGGGAGAATCAAAACCTCCAACAGTTCTAAAAGCAGTCACCATAACACTGCCCATTCGGCGAGCCTACGGTGGTTTCTCAAACAACCAATACTTACCCCTTAAAACTCCAAGCCCTGGGGAAGCTAATCTTTTACAGACATATAGCCCATGTTACCCAAAAAGTTGAAAATTTGTGTTTTTTAAGAGGTAAGAAAAGGAAAATCGCAGCTTGGAAACCGCCATTTGCAGGCGGAAGCCACCTGTTTTGTCGTGCTTGGCAAGCTCATGGAGTTCCCGGAAGGAACTTCCTACCTAAACATGTCCGGCTTTTACGTACATAAAAAGCGAGTGACTTCGAAGCTTAACACACATGACACGTATTGGGGCACGCGGAACCCAAAGGCTCCGAGGCAAATCTGTGTGTGTTTAGGGGTTCCATGCTCTGTTTGAGGGGCCTGACTGGAAGATTTTTGTCTATCGCGAGATTTCCCCATCAGCTAAAGCAGCATCTAGCATTTTGCATTGGGCGAATTATAATATTTCACCAGCCTGAAACTTGGTTCGGGGGCTATTCCCAACATAAACCACCACTGGGGTGAATTCGGTCGTGTGAGGTGGTTATAACTCAGGCATTTGGAGCCCAGAACAGACAAACAAAGAAACATGTGGTTCTGCAGGGGGTGAATCTCCAGATGTTCCTGAGGTTTTTGCGGCCGAGGCGCGCTCCAGGGATCGCGCCTCGTCCTTGGCTGCGTAGAGCTCTGCCCGCAAGCGAGCCTGCGCTGGGGGGGGGGGCGAGGGGGTCCCATTGGGGGGGTTCTCTGATTCCAAGGGAGCCCCTTAAAAAGGAGCTGGTCACAGGAAATAACAAAGGAGCTGGTAGGCCAAGGATTGAACTTTGGGATTTGACTTTCTAAAATCACGGGGTGCCGTTAAGTGATGGTTTGGATCGGTTTGGATGGGTTTGGCTTGGCGGGGTTTTTGATTGATGGTTTGGAGTGGCGGTTTAACTGAGGTTCCCTTTGGCCTCCCAACTAAAATGGAATTGCACAAAGCCCCTTTCAAAGAAGTAGTCTTTCTACTGCCATGTGACGTTGGGTCCCTTAGAGTTGCAGCAAAACGCTTTACAGCAACAAACCCCCACACTAAAAACCGAAGCAATACCAGAGCAGAGTAACATGATGCCAACCGCACTGAAACCAAGAACGATGCCAGACTTATCTGCCTCTTTCCTCCCAAATGAGGGTTCCCTTTGAGTTCCCGTTAAAACAGACAAAATGGGAATTGCCGGTCGCACAACCAGGTGAAGCTTTTGGATAGCCAAACATGGGCCAGAAACATCCTGAGAACGAGAGGTTGAACAAATTGAACTTGCATTGGGACGAGTTCACTACCGCTGGCGGATACTCAAACGCCAAGCCAGAATAAGTACAGATTCAAAAAGGGCGGATGCCCATACTTATGCATTGTTGGCACCATGTCCTACCTTCATCCACCTCGGCTTTGATTGTGGCTCGCCTGTACTCAAGAAAATCTATGGACCCTCATGGGATCTCATGGGGCTTGACAAGCGGCCCAGTTTGAGGGGAAATCCTGAGTTGTAGATGCATGGGCGCACACCGACCCCCCCCCCCCCCCCGCGAGGCACAGCAAAAAGCCGAGCGCAGCATCTACCCTTGATTGTCTGAACTTAAGCTTCTTTTCCCGGGCTGTTGGAGTGTTGGTTAAGCCGATTTTCCATAAACCCTTTTGAAAAGCCACCGCAAAGGAACTCGCAACCCAAGGAAAGAATCTTGCAGATGGTCTTTGAACGGCAAGCCACAGAAAAGGCAAACGTCAGCCCGTCCTCTTTAAACAACAACAAATGTCCAAGTTATCCGCTATCCATGGGCAGGCACAAGGAATCTCTTTGGACGACAACATCCATCACTCAAGAACCCACATGGAGCCTGCATCTGAAACTGACCTCCCGGACTCCACTTTACCTGAGCCCGCAGGCCACCGAAGGCACCAAAAAAAGAAGGCAACGAAGCCTCTGGTGAGGGCTCCAGGTCCGGGGACCTCCGCGAGCTCGAGGCATCCTGAGATTTGCTGCTGCGCCCCAAAAGACCATGAGACAAGCGTGAAGACAAGAAGCGATAGAAAGGAAGGCCCCAAAAAACTCCTTCTTTCATGTGACACTGGGCGAAAGTTTTATTGGCTGGTGGCTTTCTTAGTCACCCCACGTACAGGACCTTTTCAAAAGAACCGACTTCGGTGAATGTTTGGTCCTTGGCAGTCTTTCCAGACATAGCGACTGGGGCAAAGGTCAAACCAGTGCAGAATACCAGTTCAAAGTTGGGCCCACGTGGATCCTCGTTGCCATCCCACTGCTTTCGAACAAAATGCGAAGTGGAAGCAAATGCCGCGTTGCTTGCTGGCATCGGATGCAAGACGGGGGTCTGAAACTTATGCTATGGACTATGGAGGAGCCAGGCTCCAGTCAAGAGCAGCCTTTTCCAATTGCACACGCGCACACACGTTTCATTTACATGTTAGACTTTAAACAGACATTGTCCCCCACAAGGTTGTCTTCTCACCAGATGGTTTATGGTTGAGGTCTTAGGTGTTGTTGTTTTAGGGGAGTTCTTGGGGCTCAGGGTGTTTAGGATTTAGCGTTTCTAGGGTCTAGGGCTTCAAGGTGGTTAGGGTATAGGGTTGAAGGTTGCGGGCAACACGTGCGCTTTGCTCGAAACGGAAATGCACTCAGACATGCCCAAGCAGGTGATACGCAGGTGGTCTTGAAGTCGCAAACAAACATGTCCGCCCTGTCTTGACCAACATGTGGCACCTGGTGGCCAACATGCTGCACAACCCCCGTGATGGAAAGCGCGATGTCTCGGTTTCCGACTGGACCTCAAGTACGTACCTGGAGTCTCCATGACACTTAAAACTGGGGGCATTACTCATTACCCAAAATAATGGGGTCATTGACCCATATTTAAAGGGTCATGGAGACTCTGACTCTGAGAATCGGAACCGACATCCTTTCCGGACACCGACATCCAAGTGGAAGCACCGAAAGAATCGATCAAAGCCGTGGAGCGCCCCAAAGCCTGGAGCACTGAGTTCGGTTGCTGTAACGACCCCTCTGCAAAAAGCTGTTAATTTTTTGTGGGTTCAATGGAAAACCCGAATGGTTTCAAAAACAATTGAAATGGCAGTCAAGTGAATAGATCCCCAATCCATTCGGATATCAATCCGAAGCCTGCCGAATCAATCCCGTAGATGCAGCCCAAGAGCGTCCAGCATATCTGCGGGCACGGCGAAGTCGGAGTCTTGCCAGCCGTCTTCGCCTAGCGACTCCTGGGATGAGTTGAATGGGCAACAAAGTGCCGCAAAATGCACACAGCGCCGAAAGCAAGCTGCTCACGGTGCCTTTTGCTGGGCTCCCAAATTGGTTGTTTTCCGTTTCTGGCTTCCCTTCAGAACCAAAACAAGCCGCACCCTCGACAAAAAGATGGACCCGCACAAAACATGACCATTTGCCAACCCTCCATGCTTGGCAGCACGGTCTGAGTGCCAAAGAGCAAGTGGAGCATTGAAACAAGGCTGCCAAACACTTCAGTAAACAGCAAAGTCCGGGCGCCCCCTTGTTTTGGCGCTTAGGAGAAGTGTCCTTTGTTCCAGGCTTGCTTGCTTTGACAGCTTTACATTTGGCGGAAGGTACGTGGAGTGGGGTCCCAATGTCCATCCCAACAAGCCCCCAACATCCCTGCAACCTGCAATGGTCCTTGCAATCCTCGCTCGAACTGATATCATTCCCAAGAATATCTGTTGAATATCTGCGCTTTGGCGCATGGGCGCCATCCTCGACTTGTCATCCCAACAGATCTTGCATCTTAGGATCCATAGCGACCCTGCAAGCAAAAATAAGTGCCTCTTGAAATGACAACATGGGGGTTGAACAAAAGGCCCATTGCATGGGACGACCATTAAAAAACCACAAAATGATGATATTTCCCACTAAATGGGAAAAGTCACCCTTGGTCAGTTGGGGGCCGAATGGAATATTGATCAACCCCCAAATCTGTTGACGGATCCCCGTGTGCTCTTGCCCCTTTCGGTTGCGTCACATGTTTTTTTTTCTTCTTAAGCTGGGCGGCGCCGCCGTCGGACTCTTTGGGGAATGCCACGGCTGGGGGCAGAGAGCTGGCTCCGCTCTTCGCCTCCGTCATGAACCTGAGCCGCGGGAGTTTCAAGCCACGTGCTCAAGTATGTTGCCCGGTGCTACAGGCCTAGACCACAGAAGCGCCACTTTAGTCCGTTTAGATGCCTCAAGCTTAAAACCACAAAAACGCAGCCTTTGTGACAGGGTTGTATGCCTAACTCTGTAAATGGATCCGTGCCCAGAGTCTCATACGCACCTACTGAGCCTGCTGCCGATAACCCGAACTTGCCTTAGACCTGATTGAGGCTGCCCATCCTGGCCCCGTCATGACCAGACTGCACAGATCTCTTTCCCCAAGGACATCCTGGCAAAGCTAACGTTGCCGGCGTGCGGGTAGGAAAGTGATGGCAATCCAAACGCGCGGAAGCTAGGTCTGGCAATGAAGGGGAAATCAAAGACTTGAATTGAGAAATCCCCCACAACTGCCATCAAATGAGGTCGTCTCCTCCTCTTCTTTTCTCTGGCTTTCCATGGCCCCTGCAGCGCTTGCTGGCCAAGTGGCGTTAGCCGCCCTGGTCGAATCATCTCATCCAGCCTGAGTTTCAAAGCAACGGTGGATCAGCATTTCGCCCTCGCAAGGCTGAGGTCTCCCTTGAGTGCCTCATGGGATGGCCTTCATTGCTCACTTCCACGACTACGGTGTGGACAATGTGCTTACAACATTTGCCGACTCCGAAAGCCGTTCGAGCATCAAATGGCTTGGTGCAATGAAAAGACCCGGGTGCGCACTTGGAAGGATCGGGGCAGCTGACGGTCAATCCCGACACGTGTTCGCCATGCTGGCTCAACTTCGTGTTTCCCTTGACGGCACTTCACATGGCCATATCCGAAACGGTGGGCAAAAGCAGCCCGTTTCAAGTGTCAGGCCCGAAAGAAATAGGGCCAACAAATCAGCTTGGACCATCCCTCAAGGCATCCCCACAATGAACTAACACATGGCAGCGCAACGAGCACAATGAGAACAGTGCCATCGCTTCACGGACTCCTCTTTGGGATTCTCCGGGATGACGTAGCCTGCAAAAAAAAAGTCACGGAGCCCACACGCGCAGTTGCATTGGTCGCATCCAAACTTGTAGGGGACACTTCCCCATTCTTTCCAGGGACAAAAAACCATCAGAATCCCAGGTGAAACAGCTGGTTTGTGAAAAACACGATGATTGAAAATAAAGGGGAATGAACCCCTAGAAAACTAGCAACGTTCACACACAAGTTCTCAAAAAAGGGTTATCTGCCTCAGCGCACGTAAGGTGGATCGACTGCAGCTGTTGGACATGTATATTCAAATTCCCGCGCCCCCAAATTGATAGCGTATAATCAAATACGCCATTGCAAATACGACATGTTATGATGCTCCAGCAAGCATTCATTTCGAGCTTTGCAGCCCACAAATGATTTACTCGAAGAAAGGTGGACAAGTTCCACTTGAACGGAGAAACACTTGATATTGATCACTCCATGCTGTTGGAATTCAACGTGGTGCCATGTGTTGATGTCAGGCAAACAAACAGGCCCGAATGATACATAAACCAAAAGAACGCAACAAAACAACTGGCGCTCGGTCACAAACGCCACAAAGGCACACATCTGTAGAACATGCAGGCCTCGCACGGATGGAAACGGATGTGTTTACTTTAGACTTAGCAAGGCCAAAACGTGAAATGCGCCATGCAAAATAGCCACAAAAGAAAGCACCGCTATTGGCGTATGAAGAAGCATGTGTAGAAGTTGTATGTCAATCGTCCGTGGCCGTGATGAAGCGCTGGGGTTCAACATTGAAACAAAGGTTAAGCCAATTAAGATGATGACAATCCTTAGGTAAATAATCCGCCATTGCTGGTTATATGAACCGCCATTGTTTTTAATGGTGGCTTGAACCCCAGGGGAAGATTGAGGTCCACAAGTGTCCAGGCCTGCAGCAACCGCCAAACCTGGCGTGTGTGAGCGAGTGCGGGTGTCAGCAGTCGTTGCCAGCCTGCGATGGAAATCAGCTTGTCTCCTGGCAAAGGCAAGTTTCTGGACAATCGGCATGTTTCAACTATCCCGGGTCTCAACCTTGTGAAATTATGCGTCCCGCGTGTCATCCCAAAGCGCTCTGATATCATGCCCCGGCAGTGGTGACGTTTAAGAATATGAATTCAGATTTATACATATATATATATATATATTATGTATACGTATCGCTTGCTAGTGTAACCACATCAACTGCAAGAAGGAATCTTCCGGACCCCGGCAGCTACTGTTCTTGTCCATGCGAGCTTACCAAACTCTTTGGTGCATGCCTAACTCCCTAGGGTTCAGCCCCGGCAGGCGAGCCCCCAGATTTGCTTCACGGCTCGGCCGGCTCTCGCTCGGCCGTTTTTCGGGACCCCACTAAGACAAGGAGAGCCACTGAGAATAGAAGTGTAAAGTGTGTCGATGAGCCCAAAGAAAGCAAAGATGCAGAGCTAGCAAGTTGATCGCGGAGCACGCAGCAAGTGCAAACGTCTTTCGCATGGGCCAAAGGTCAGTCTGGCGGTTGGAACATTTCTAGAAAGTCTCAGCAGGGAATGGGGGAATGACCCTACAAGCCATTCATCTCCATTCTTTGTGGTTTCCTTTGCGGATTGGTAGGCTCATGCCCAGCACCCGGAAGGTCATTACCCACCTATCGCACAAGCAAGCAGTTCTATGTTCATAGGCACAAAAGGTGCTTCCTGGCCATTCTTCCCCTTGTAGGGCAAGGCTGACTGGTGTCAAACGAAGGAGAAAAGTGGCTGACTGAATTTTCATGGGGAACCCCCTGAAAAGCGGGACATAAGCCCCCACCTAAATGATGTCCACCAAAGGGTCCCCAATTTAGATTCATACCCAAGTATGTGCCTCACCTGTTTTTGCGTTATTCTGGCAGGGTAGCCAGCTATTTAGCTCAGATCAAGAACAAGAACTGGGCTGAGTCCGAGCAACTTAAGACGCCCACAACAAAACAACAGGAACGACACTAATCCATAATTATGCTGCGGTCACCATACTTTGCCAAGAAGGATCCACCTACCAGACTAAGAGATTTGTTTGTTAGAACGGGCATGTGCTTCGTATCCTGCTTCGCGGCATTTCCCCTTGACATCGTCCACAGCAAACTCTTTTTGCAAATTGGACCATACGATTTGCCCTCCCACCTAGTAACATGGGACCTGACGTTCGGGGGTCCTGGCTTGGACCATGCTCCTTTTAAAGGGACCAGGTCCATATCGAACGCCGAACGGTTCCGGCCGTGAACAGGGTGGGAGGCTACATTCACATCAATCAGAGAAGGGGCAAATGAACACTTCAAGCGGAGAAGGGACAAATAACAACTTCAAGCGGAGAAGGGACAAATAACAACTTCAAGCGGAGGTCGCAATGATTCGCAATCACACAGGTCCCTCCTGGGCAAACTCCCTGCTGCTGAGCTTGGCCGTCAGGCTCCACAAACGCCACGTGCACACCTGCGGGGAACTTGGCACATGCCCTCCCCCCCCCCCGCCCACAAAATGTGCGGCATGGAGCAGAACTTCCGTTGAACGGCTTGGAAGGATAGGGTTCCGATCGATTGCGCGAAAAAAAACAAAGAAAAAGCCGGCCATGATTTGCGTAGCATCCTAGAACCCCACCTGTGCCAACCCAAGTAAACACTCAATTGCAAACATTGCGCATGCAACAACATGACAGCATGTTCAAACAAACAAGTACATATATTAGATGTGCAATCCTGTGCGCGTGTGCATCAAGGTAAGAATAACTACCAACATAAGCAAGCAACGAATTGTCAGCATACGTACCACCCACAAGGCGCAATCCCTGATATGAAGCGCGTGTGCTTCAGCTCTTCCAAGAAGCTGGATAACTAAGCGTGGTCAAATTTCAGTGAGCCACATGGATGATTCGAGCTGGAGCTTCCGAGAACAATTACCCTATTCATCATTGATCTCTGAGAAGCCAGGGGCCTTCTCAGCTTCACGCAAGCGGAAAAACGGGGCTCGCCTTTGCACACGGGGCCGGGAGTGCTTTTCATCTGCGCGTGAATTCGGAAACTATATTTCCACGCGGCAAGGCTTTGCGGCAGCCTGCCTCCCAAAACCAAACAAGCATTTATGCTCGAAACTCACAACCGAGCTAGGTAGGGTTGCGACCCTAAGCGTGCTCGCTTCGCGCTCGGTTCGTGCTTGTGCTTGGTTAGTGCTCGGTTCGTTCTCAATTGGTGCTCTGCTCTGCCGGCTCGCGCTCTGTTCGTGCTGCTTGGGTTGTGCTCAGGTGGCGCTCTGCTTGGGAGGCTCGTATTTGGATCGGGCCCGGTTCGGCCCGGTTCGTGCCCGGTTCGTGGAACCCGGTTCGAGCCTGGTTCGTGCACGGATCGCGCACGGATCGCGCAAGATCGTGCCCGGTTCGTGTCCGGTTTGCCCGGCTCATGCCCGGTTCGTGCTCGGTTCGTGCCCGGTTCGCGCCCGGTTCGTGCCCGGTTTGCGCCCGGTTCGTGCACGGATCGCGCGCGGATCGTGCACGGATCGCACCCGGATCGTGCCCGGTTCGTGCCCGGTTCGTGCCGCTCGTGCCCGGTTCGCGCTCGGTTCGTGCACGGATCGCGCACGGATCGCGCACGGATCGCGCACGGATCGTGCCTGGTTCGTGCCCGGTTCGTGCCCGGCTCATGCCCGGTTCGTGCTCGGTTCGTGCCCGGTTCGTGCCCGGTTCGTGCCCGGTTCGCGCCCAGTTCGTAAACGGTTCGCGCACGGTTCGCGCCCGGTTCGTGCACGGATCGCGCACGGACCGCGCACGGATCGCGCCCGGCTCGTGCCCGGTTCGTGCCCGGTTCGTGCCCGGTTCGTGCCCGGTTCGTGCCCGGTTCGTGCCCGGCTCATGCCCGGTTCGTGCCCGGTTCGTGCCCGGCTCGTGCTCGGTTTTTGCTGCGAGGCTCATGCTAGTTTGAGCTTTGCCTTGGCGAACGGCTTCCCCATAGTAATACATGGGGTACCCCCCTTCCCCCCTTTTAATCAATATTCCGTGGGGCAAAAAAAACTATTGATTGGGTACCACGAGGCCGCTCAAGGCAGTTTTGTTCATATTGAACTTGAACAAAACAAATCGGCGCAGTTCAATCTGATTTGCTCACTCTAGATTTGAATTTGCAATTCGATAATTCAAACGTGAATGCGATCGTACGTCAAACCTGGTTTGGAGAGCTAATAAGTTCAGGTCTGGACGAGGGGTCCGCGAAAAACAAAATAATGATAGAGCGCATTCTTGATAGGGGGAAGTAACTGGCAGCTCAGCCTAGAGCCTTTGAGAAATCTGGCGTGTTACAGAAAACGCCGCAATCCGGCCACCAGCCCCCCCACCCCCCTTCCTTTGTTATAACAACCCCAATGGAAAACAATGGGCACGTGGACTCAGAATTGAGCCTAGGGAGGGGGGGGGAGGGGGCAACTCCAGAAATCACGGCGTTTTCTGTAACACCTCAGCGTTGCGTATCTTGAGCCGGGCGCTGTTTGTAAGATTGTTGTGGGGAGCCTGTTCAACCCAGTGTCCCGGAAAACACAAAGTTCGGTTGTTAGTTTCACGCTAAATGCGTCTGCGCCAATGTGCTTGGAGCTGGGCGGCCATAGCAAATATATCTTTGTAGGGCTTTTCAATTCCAAGTCCGGGGGTGGCAACTTGGCTTTGCGGCGATAGCGTTTGGCGGCGTTCCTTTCTGGCGCTTAGAAGCACCAGCCACTGGCCAAATAAGAGGCAACAAGGCCCACGGAAACCACAAGGGTAAGAGAATAGACGCCCAAGCAGAAAAAACATGCTGGAGAGTACAATTGCTGAGCAGACCCACAAAAGCTGAGCTGCGCGGCGCTTTCACCTTTGGCTGTTCAACGTAGGGCTTGAAATCACGCATTTGAGAAGGCATGCCTGTTTGAGCTGGCGCAAAGCAGAAACCCTCAGAGCGCTACGTGCTTCCAAAGCTTTGTCAGGTCCAACCATGCATCAACAGCTTCTTGCTGCGCGTAGAATTACAAATCTATCATGCCTGGAAAGCCCAGGGCGCCGAATTTCCGCCACTGATTGAAGTTAAATAAGCGCGCTTGGTGCCCAAAAACGTCGTTGGAGCAATTCGCGAATATTCAAGAACTTGTGTGAACCGTTTGATTGCCAAAAAACGCCGTTTGATTGCCAAAAAAGCCGTTGGCAAACATCAGTTGACCAGCTTGACCTTGGCAAAGCGTCACACTTTGGGATATATGCAGGTATTCTGTGACAAACCTTCTGACTTCACTGCCATGCTACACAAAACCACGCATCTTTGGAAAGCTCTCTGGAGGCCGTCTCGCACACTATGGCTTTGCATTGCCCGCGCTTGCCTGCGAAACAAAACATTGGCCTGTGCGCAAACAAAAAAGCACTCTGGGGTCTGTGATGCCCAGTGCTATCAAAGGCAAGCCCCGAAAAACCTGCCATGAGCCCATGGCCACTTGCAGTTGTCCAATATTGGCACAATCCCGTGTGGATATTTAGTGCACGGTGTCCCTTAGGGACGATCCAACAAGAATAGGAAGGTGCCCGAAACATGGGACCCCCCCAAAGAAAAGTGCCAAACATGGATCCCCCCCCAAAAAAAAGAAAACAACATATATATATATATATATAAAAAGCAGAAAGTCATTACCTCCCGGGGGCCACACCAAAAAATGGACATCCCCACCCCCCCAAAAAAAAAACAACAACACATATTGGGGAAACACAATTCGGAATGGACTTGTCCCCCCCCAAAAAGCACATCACCATTCCGGGGAAACCATCGGGAAACCAAATCCAAAGCTCAGCTGTCGCTTCGCTTCGGATCCGCCAAACGCCAAACGCCCACCGCGCCCTCGAGTTCAAAGCCCATGGGACCTGCGCCTGGCGGGTGAGGGCACATGGATTCAAAGATGAGCCCCACCAACGGACATGCAAAAATTGCCGGCTTTTTTTTTGGGGGGGGGTGTGGGGGGGTGGGTGGCTGGGGGCTGGGGGGGGGTGGGGGGTGAGGGTCCGGGGGTGGCTGGCTGGGGGCTGGGGGGATCATTCTGGCTGACTGATTTTACGAGCGTATTTCACGATGTCACTGATTGATATTTCGCGGGGGGGGGGAGGGGCGGGGGGTCCTGGATTGAACCATTTGTCCTTTTTCAAAAGGACCCGGTCCCGTACGTCGAACGGTTCCGGCCGGGTAAAAAAGACAACAAAGTAACCGAAGACATGCATAGACACATGCGATGAATGCGCCTACGTGTTTCATCATGTATTCGACTGCATTTATACGTGTTGCAAACCTATAAATCCCGGGTCCAATTCGGAAAAGCCGCATAGCACCAACTGAGGTAACCGTGCGCGGCCAAAGGCTGGCTGGCTGGTTGGTTGCGCAGTTGATGAGAAGCTGTGACAACTTGCAAGGGGCCGCCTTGCGATTGAACCACCAGTGTCCTACTCAAGGACCTGGCTGGATGATCTGCCAATTGGTGCTGGGTGTGTCACCGGCTTGCACGAGGGCAACCCTTATCACCAAGGCCCAAAAGCAGGGCTATGCTGGCGAGGCGGTCATGGGAGGATCTCCGAGTCTGGGAATGGGTGTTGCCACATAGGCCAGGCATGGACCTTACATGTTCCCTCCCAACAGTCCTTTGAAAGTCGGATACTTGAAATATAAATTGGATCCATCTTTTTGCAGAGGCAAACCAGAAGCTTGCCCCGCGCTCTGAGAACCACATCCATCCCTGTCCGATTCTTCACAATCGAGTCTCCTACACCCGTGACATTCTAACCCGCATTCGCTTCCATAATGCGAAATACACAAAGGCCGTGTCATAGCAAAGATCCGACATGGCATCCCAGCAAACCATCACAAACAAGCAATACGCAGCTCTGAGAGGTACGCCTCACAACGCAAAGCAACCAACTTGCTCACTCCACTACGGGCTGTCCGTTTTCAGATCCCCTGCTAAAAGTGAATAACTTCTGTGTGAAATGGAAACCCAACCACCAACCAACTAAAAACACCTAAGAAGCTAAGAAACCGGATGGCTGGGAACCACCAAAATCAGAGATGCCGCCCAGAGACCCAGTGACCCAGTCACCCCCTTCGACCACCTCTCTCAGCCAAAGCGGCGAAAGGTGACCTCGCGCTTTCCCTTCTGCCCGGCATCGTCGGCTAAGAGGATCGCTTGCTTCTGGATGTCCTCCCCTGAGTCTCCGGCTCTGTCACTCTGCGCACCCAAAAAAAACACTTGTGATTTCAAAGTACCTGGAGTCTCCATGACCCTTACCAAAAAAAGGGTCATTACCCAAAATACTGGGGTCATTACCCAAAATAATGGGGGCATTGACCCATTTTTGAAGGGTCATTGGAGACTCCAGGTAGCCTCTTAGTTTTTACCATGCCTCATGGACTCCATTTCTCTGGCTGCACCATGGAATGGCTGTGGCAGTTGCTCTCCCTTGAGTGGGGTCACCAGACAGCTTGGGCATAGCCGGTCTCGAGCCTTGCAGTATCTCTGGACAACTGCCTTTGACCTGTCAAAGCTGTGTCCAAACAACTCCGACATTCCTACTGTTCCAACCTTACAAGTACCAACAGCTCGCGCACAATGGCAAACCCCGCGCAAACCTGAAACGGGTATCAACAAAAACAAGCCACACCATCTTCACAGGGGGGCAACCTGGTTCAACGGACACAAAAAAGGCGGAACATGGTTGACATGGGTTCTCAAAAATAGGGGAACCCCCGAAAGGGCGGTTTCTTTGGCTTTCCCTAACCAACTCTCTGTTTTTTTGGGGCGGGGGGGGGGGGAACTCGCCAAAAATGGACGAGGCACACCTTTCTGGCGACATATTTTGGGACGGTCTCCTTTTGGTTTCCCCCTCAAACTGCCTAGAGTCTCCATGACCCTTCAAAAATGGGTCATTGACCCCAGTATTTTGGGCAGTGACCAACCATTTTTTAAGGGTCAGAAGGAGACTCCAGGTGGCATCGCCTTTTTAGGGGGAAGCTTGATCCAAAAAGCACCGAGCCACTCAAATGCCCGAGGCTCCCACCCAGTCTGGCCGCCTGGTCTCTGGCCGCCTTGAGCCAAGTCTCCATGGCTCCAGCCGCCGGAGCGCTATAGGCCCAACTGTTCCCGAGAAAACGCGCAAAAAAAAAAACAGGAAGCCCAAGAAACGTTTCGTGCGTTGACGGTCAAAACCTGATGTGGACTGTGCTTGAAACCAGGGTAGTAAAAAAAGAAGCGAATCTTGGGTGCTAATGCCAATCTGTGCTGAGAGCAACTTCCAACGTTCTCTCTAAACACCAAGCAATCCCCACTTATTTTATATAACGTATCCATCCTCCGCTGGGCTAAGGGAACTCAACTTCACGTCCTGCTTAGCTCCCGGAAAACAACAACAAACAAACCTCAGCGTCTTCCGCTGCTGGCAAAGCCCGGAAAGCCCCATGTTAGATTCACAGCTTTTGCGTCAAAGTTCGTGAGACCCCGTGTGAACGTCGGCCAATCGGCACACCGCGAAAGAGGTCAAACAAATCCGCAAACCATCAATCCAACCAACTTAGGGTAACCTGAATCGCGGCATGCCCTCTCTCGCTCTTCTCTAAAATTATAGGCAGTGAGTCAAGTGCAAAAGCCCATGAAAAGAAGCTGCAGCCGCGCGGCTGCGACGCAAGATTGACGTACAAACATCAACTGCTTTGTAAATAGGATAGCATGGACCTTGACAACCAGCATGCATCTGGATTTAAACTTTGTTTGGTGTCTGGCGTGGCATGACAACTCAGGCCTACAGATCCTGGACGTGTCATGCGAAGGAACTGAGATGTTGAAGGGCTCCCCTTTCCAAACGCCAAACGCCGGTCGCCTCTTCCGGTGGCTCACACACAGCCCAAAAAGAAACAACTCACACGGGGGAGGAAAAAAACATGTGACCATTTAGACAAGTCGATGGGTTTCCGGGCATAAACCCATCGGAACCAACAGATCCCATCTATTTCTAACAAAACGAACCTGAGAAGGAAGGCGGTGGATGATTTACAGATCTGGGCAAGTGATTAAATCCCAAAGGCATTTTCAGCACGGGCGAAATTACAAACCTTGCGGGGTCAGTTGCCCAAATCAGACTCCCCGCAGCAACCAACACTGGACCAATTTGACCATTCTCCAACCCAGGCAAAATCTTATAGACCCCTTTTTATGAATAACCAGTCATTTTCCTTTTTGGTTTTTAAATAGAAAAACAATCCCCCAATGTAACGCACGTTTTGATCCCTTTTGATCAACTTTGTAAATGGTGGTTCTCTTGGTTACCTATACGGGTAAAATACTTTGGAAAATATCACAAGTGGGCGAAAGGGAAGCTATTTTGTTTTGCCACTAACACGCTCTCCGCAAAAAAAATACTAAAGTCCGAAACGGAACTCAAGGAGCGAGCTGATCCCCCCGAAAACAAGTATAATAATAATAATGAAAAATAAAACAAAACAAGCAAGTTCCCAGCAACATATATGGGAACCTGACGCTGAGGGTTGCACGAGCCACCGGCACGCAAAGTCTCAAGGCAGCAAATGCATACAATGAGGCCTGTTTGTGCGCGCAGGATGGGTGCGGGAATGTCGAAACATAACGCCAATCCCATCCGCAATTGGAAGGCTCCAAAGCTCAGGTGGGTCATTGTCAAAATTTAAATGGTCTACCCGGAAGGAAATCAAAGGCGGCCGCACCCATTCATGGCTGGGACTGGCCCTACTAACCTTCATCTACCCGGGTTTTGACGACGCGGCTCAGGTCATGTTTCGTCACTGCACGGATCAGAACGGACTGCCAAGCTGGCTGAGAACAAACCGCATATCTTCATCACAAATGTGCTTACTCCCTTTCGGTGAGATTCCGACATGTGTGCGAACCAAATGTAAGGCTCCCGTGGACCGACAGCCTCAACAACTGCCAAGCGCCGCAAAGCACGGCACATGCGGTCCGAGGTTGCAGATCGCACAGACCGTAGCAGTGGGCCTCTCTGTGGTTTCCTTTCTGCGTGGTGAATTGTCTTGGTGTCGTGGACGCGGCATTAAAGATTGAAGCCGTTTAGCGCCCAGAAGTCAGCTCAAAAGCAATGCCTTGAATCGCTTAGACATGGGAAGACAGCACAGCTGGGTTGATGCGTGCTTGCACCAATACATGCGCATACGCTCAAGCAAGTACAAAAGCTTCGTACATACTCGCGCGCAGCCCTCCGCAGTGTGAACAACGTCTGCCAAGTCCCCAACTACAAAGGAATAAGGAAAACTACATTAATTCAAGTCAAACAACATGCCAAGTAACATGTATAAACCCCCTCTTCAAAAGAATCCTTGAGGTGACTGACTCTTGCATCCTCGCACGAGAAGTCTACCTTTTCTCAAGAAAGCGAAGCATTCGTCAAGCGTTGGCGGTTTGGCCCTTCCCCTTGTTGGGGCCAGGCACGAGGCAACCCCGCCAGAGCGTGCTCCAAGGATACTAGGTCCTCCCGTAGAGAGGTTAGAATAAGGGCACCAACTTTTTTTTCTGTAGTCTATTTCAGTAGGGGAACCCTCCCCCAAAAAAAGTAAAAGGGCACTACTGGGGACCTAGACTAGTTTGCGCTCACCCTAGAAGGATATGGCTGACCGAAGGCTGGCCTTATCTTGCTGGTGCTCAGTACGGATAAGAGCATGAATCTAGCGATTCCCTTGAAGGAAACCGCAAGGGATGGTTCACAGGTTTCATTCCCTCATTCCCTGCTGAGCACCGCATAGTCATGCACAGTCATGCCGTTTGGGAGAGGCTTTGCAGTGAGCCCATTGCCGAACGATCTGCTTGGGAGCCATGCCGCCTGTGGAGGTTGCCATGGATGCTGCAGTCTCTCAATTAGCGCCGGGTCTGGGCTGCCAATGCTTACGTGGGTCTGGGCGACGTTAATTAAGTTGCGAGAACCTCATATAAAAACCAAAAAAAACAAAAAACAACTAACTAGACATTTACCTGGTACAAAAGCAGCAAATGAGGGTGAACATTGCATTCGCCTGGATAGAGCAGTTCCTGCAGGCCACACCCAACGTTCGCCTCCCAAACAACTTATTAGCTTGGCAATGCAGCGCTGGCCTGCGTTGCGAGCTTTTGTCGAAGCACATCATACCTCGGCGGTGCGCGGCTGCGCACCTCCCCCCCCTTGCCTTCATGCAAAAGTGAAGCTTCCCATGTGCTTACAAACTGGGCTGTCCTCAGATCCCCTGCTAACAGTTCATGTTCTCTTGTGGTTGCGGCGGAAACTATCACAAAACCAACTAGAAAGCTAAACACCTTAAGTGGATGGCCAAGCAAGTTTGGCAGTTGTGACACAATCCCCACAGATTGTATCTCAAGAAGCTGGACTGGGCTTTGGATGCCACTTCTGCAGTTTATGCCTGTGAGAAAAAATGCCCGTCCAGCACAACAAGCATCAGGCGGGCAGGCGGCCTGTCGACCCTCACTTGCCCCAGTCTGCAAGAGCAAAGGAATTTCGAAAACCGAGGGTCGTCAGAGGTGGGAGTATATCCCACAAATTACACGATGAACAAGGCACATCCCTCAAACTGGCAATAAAACAAATGCAGGGTGTCATCATTCACAAAGGTGTGCGTGTATATATGACAAGGACAAACACATGTACAAGGGGTCTTGAGAAACTTGAGCCACCCCAACAACAAAAACACAAACAAACAGGCAAACCCAAACACGGACAAAGCCAAACAAAGCCAAACAAAGCTCCTGGGAGTAGCTGCTGCCAAACGAAGGCAGTAGTTGTCACCGCTCAGAAATTCGCAGGAGGCCGATGCTTCTTTCTTTCTTGAAACTGCCAACCCTACACGTCTGCTAAAGCAACAAAACACACATGTGACTTCGGAACAGAAAGACCTGCCAATCGCCTCATGCCAAAGGACCAAAGGACCAAACCCATCTATTGACAAAGGAGCCGCACGAGCCATCACCTCCTACGCTCTGGAACTCTCTGCGTCGATCTATGCTCGATCGATCGGTGCTCGGCCGCACGGCAAGTCTGTCGGCTCCAAGAAACGCAAGCACCTGAAAACTTGTGTCCTCAGGTGGCAAGACAAGGGAGAGCAAGACTTCCAGACTTCTTTCCTGCAACCCCGCGCTTTCTTTATATCTCTATAATATACATATATAACATATATGTACATATAGATGTTATATTTCTTTAATGATATACATATATATATATATATAACATATATATATATATATATGTGTAACACATTTGTGCAAAAAGCCAAGCGTCTGCTGCCGAACGTCCTGGTCTGGGATCACGTACCACCTTGCTTGCAGATCAAATGCACCAACATGTATCGCAGATGCCCTGCGGGTTGCTGCAACTCAAATCGGGAACTCAAAAATTGGGCTGTCAAAAACCGTGTGAGGCAGAAGCACCATAGAGGAAGTCAAATAAACCCAAGCCACTCAAACATGTTTCAGACATCCCAACCTTCAGGGGTGAAGGGGGTGGGGTCCCCCAATTCCATGTTTCTAGTCTCCCCCAAAGCAGAGACCCTCCCCAATTCCATGTTTCAGGGGCCCGGGGGAAATTCAGCCAGTCTCCTTGCTTCCTTTTTGCGGGTGGGTTTCACACATACGTGGGGGATCAGGGCGGATGCCCAGACGGGCGGATCAGGTCGATTCGCTTTGGACAAGTCAGGTGGTTCCCGGAAAAGAAAAAGAAGAAGACAGAAAACAGGAGAAAACAAAAAAAAACAGGCCGGGCCACAGGTGCTGGGGGTTGCGGAAGCTCCGGCCCGTCTTGGTCATGGCACGGTGCTCCTGGAGAAACAGCGCCTGGCACTCAAAACGAGCGAAGGGTCCCCGAACCCAGCTGGTGACTCCCGCCAAAGAAGAGTAGTCGATGGATGACTAGGTCCTCCAGTAGAGAGGTTAGAATCAGTGTACCCGTTTGTTCTGTTTTGTGTATTTTAGTCGATTTTAGTAGGGGGAAACCCTCCCCGAAAAAGTTTGTGAAAGTTGGCACTACTGGGGGACCGAGATGAAGAAGGGTCCGGGTGAGAGACACATTGTCTTGGGGCTCTGTCAGATTACATTTTTTCTTTTGATGAGGGCAGTAGGAAGCAAACCAGGCACAAAGCATGAAAACTATGAAGGGGCTGCAAAATGAAACTGCGCATTATTGCCAATGAATCTTGATAAATAGCCGGGATAGCCATATTTCAGCATCTCAAGGAATGGTTCTTAATCTCAAAGCTGCACAGCTGCACACCGAAAGCTCCTCTCCCTGCAATTGCGTTTCTCGAACTGCAAACATGCAGAGCCTTGTTGCACCTAGCATCTGCGAAGCACTTTTTGTGAGGAAACAGGCAAGATGAAGTGGCCAACGCAAGCCTTCAACGCCTGAGTCAGAGAGTCAAGCCTTGGTGAAAGGGCGGGTTTTCTTGTCAAGCACTGGAGCGGTGGGGTGTGTGTTCTCTCTGCTGTTAGTTGCAGAAGGTGTGCTGTGGGGCGGACATCGCTGCGGTTCCTCCAAAACGGAGCACTCGGAACGCGATGTTGAAGCAAGGCACTGGTTGACATGCTGCGAGTGCCAAGCAAAGCAAACTGGCAAACAATTGACTTCAGCAAGCTGTTGGTGCTCTCATTTCGAACGCCTCTTGGCACTAAGCACCTAGTAAAATCTCAGGAGCCAGATAGACGCATAAGAGCTCAGGAATTCAGGAAGTGAGATAAGGGTAACTGAGTTGCTTGGGCGCACATGAAAATAAAAATCAAACCACTCGAAAATCTCGAAATCCACGCCTCAGACTCTGTGACCATTTCTGGCGGAGAGAGAAGATACCTGAGTCACAATCAAAACCTATGAAAAATGGTCTAACCAAAAGAACTAGAAAGGCGGACATCCGCACCGAATTCTGGCTGGGGCTGTTCTTTACTATGCTTCACTTACCCGCTTTCCTTTTTTAGACGATGGCTCACCTAAGATACTGGCTTTGACATGCAGCAGCTTCCCTCGAAAAGAGTGGCTTGTATTGATGGGTTGGAGGTGTGCAAGGGACAAGAACCAGCGGTTCAAATCCCCAAACCAGCACTCCGAACCACCAATTTGTTCAATTGGGGGGAACCCTGACATGCAACCAAAACGCGAAACACGTCCGTTCACTTCCGCAGATTTGCCACACGCTGAACTTAGAACTTGTTTACCACAGGTGTCTTCCCAACAGGAGTGATAGCTTCAGTGTAACACCAACAAGGGAAGAAAAAAACAAAAAACATTCTTAAACAAATGGAAGATCAACATGGAACCTTCTTGGGTTCCTTCGAAACATGAAGTCGCCCAGGCCTGGGCGACTCATCGGGGGCCTTTCTGTCTACGCGGGCCAGCGCCAGGAAAACCACGTTTTTGGGCATGCCAAGAGGCGCTGCCTCCACAAACGAAGTCTGAGAGACGCTGTTCCGTGTAAAACACCTCCATTACGGTGCTTGCGGGTGTGGTGTCAACAAAATATCTTTTTGGAAGGAAGCAGCCACCATGAAGTGGCACGCATGGCGATGTATGATTGGGAGGAAAAATGAAAAAAACAAAAAACGCATCCAAAGGGGTTTGTGAAAAGCCATTGAACCTGGACAAATCCGGCAGCAAGCCAGCAAGCCAGCAAACTCATCTGATCGGCTGGTTTCGCAAAGACATAGTAAAACTGGGGTGTGGTTTAACGGGGTTCCTTACAGGATGCAACCAACTCGCTTAAAGCAAAGGAATTCTCTGGCGCAAACTTGGTCTCCGTTTGTGGGAATGGAGACCCAAACCCGAAGTTCAGGTTGCAACCCACCTTGGTTGCTGCTGACCCCCTGCAAAACGTTGACATGAGTTCAATGCGAGAAAACCCAAGTGGTTGGTGAGCGCCTTGCTGGGTTCTGCAGCCTCGGTATGGTTGGAGTTCTAGGACAAGATGCTGTGAACTTTTCTGGAAAACCCACATCATTTTCACCAAGCAGTTTTGGAGTCTAAAGATCCGCTATTCCAGAGGGCAACCAAGCCATTGCTCAAACCGACCCCCGGAAACGCCCCGCAATCCCCCGCCTTCCCCCCCGCAAACCCCAAACACCAAACCCCCCGCCTTCCCCCCCGCAAACCCCAAACACCAAACCCCCCCGCCCCGCCGGTCCCCCCCCCCGTCCAATCCCAAGCCTGGTGTTTGCACCCACCCCCGGACATTTTTGCAGGCCCGCTCCAACCCCCCGCAAACCCGAGATCCCCCCGTCCAATTCGAGATGAGTTATTGTTCAAGCAATACCCCAAACCCGCACCCCCCCCCCCCCCTCGCAAACCCAATCCCCCGTCCGATTCCAATCCGACGCTTCCGAGCTGCTCCATGCCCTGCTGCCTGGGGAACCTCTGCGCGGCCAGCGCCTCGCCCTCGGCCTTCGACGGCAAGGCGTGGACCCGATGGCAGGCGTGCAGGCGGTAGCGGCTCACGTCCAAGCCGTCCTGCCGGAAATCGAATGGGGTTGGCCTCTTAAGCGGGAGAGTGGGCTGGGTAGTATATACACCTTAAACAAAGGCTTGTATAAACTGATAGTGGCTGGGATTTTTAAACACAAACATTTATATGGCACCAGTTTGGAGATCCCAGTCCGGAAATGGGCCCGTTGGTTGAAGCTGGGCTGAATTCCACTCTCTTAGCCATGTGCTCGCCAAACATGTCCCAAGTTTGGCTTCGATGAGGAGTAAGCTAAACCTCTTGGCTTAAAGCCTACTTGAGCTGTCCGTTCCAAGAGGGCGACTGGACAACAACCAACCCTGGTGACCGGTTAAAAGAGGTAGCTTCAGGACATGACCCAGTATATCCATCGCTGTGCTCTGAAATGTGAAGGGGAACGAGCAACCACCCAGGCTGCCTAGGCAAATACGTGTTTCAAATGTACAACCCTGCACCCTGCCACAACCAAAGGACGTTCACAAAGTATCGCCCAACCTGCGTTGAGTGCGCTTCAAAGTGATTGATGGGATATGAAGGGTTCGCCAAGGCGCGAGATTGAAAGCCCTGCTGTGCCCAGTCGAATTGTTCACACCCTAGCCAGGTGCTTCTTAGTTCATCGATGTTCTTGATCAGGTCGTCGAATTGTTCACACCCTAGCCAGGTGCTTCTTAGTTCATCGATGTTCTTGATCAGGTCCTCCAGTGGAGAGGTTAGAATAAGGGTGCCCTTTTTCTGTAGTCTATTTTAGTGGGGGAACTGAACTCTCCCCAAAAAAGGGTAAAAGGCACCTAGCTGGGGGGGCCTTGTGATTGAATCCTCTGCAAACAGTCAAGGTGTCATTGGCCATCATATCCTTTGCCAAAGGTCCAGGAAATCTGTTCCCCTGAGCATGAACTTTGAGATTACGAGGAAGGGCTCTATTGACACATATTGACACGGTTCATATGTCGGTGCTTGAAGACATCCGATCGAGGAAGGATGAGATGTTCCGTCGCAGATTGTTTGGCGGCGGGTCAGTCACGTTCAAGACTGCAAACAAATAAGCAAACACACAAACAAGCACGAAAAACACACAAGCAAGCAAGCCAGCAAGAAAGCAAGAAAGCAAGCACAAACAAACAAACAAGCAAGCCAGCCAGCAAGCAAGCAAGCAAGCAAGCAAACAAACAAGCAAGCACACAAACAAACAAGCAACCAACCCAGCCCAGCCCAGCCCAGCCCAGCCCAACCCATCAACCAACCAACCAACCAAGCAACGAACCAAACATCTCACAAACGAGCGAACGAACGAACGAACAAACGAACAAACAAACAAACAAACAAACAAGCAAACAAACAAACATAACATTAAGCAAAGCAACGCAACAAACAAAACAAACAAACACCCAACCAAAAAATCCCCACAAAAAAATGGGAAACAAAGGAGAAAAAAAACGCCCACCCACCCACCCACCCACCCACCCACCCACCCACCCACCCACCCACCCAAGCAAGCAAGCAAGCAAGCAAGCAAGCAAGCAAGCAAGCAAGCAAGCAAACAAACACACCAACAAAAAACAATCAAACAAACAAACAAACAAAACACATATACAGACACAAACGAACGAACAAACACACAACTCATGCAAACACACACACACAAACAAACAAAAGCAAACACAAGCCACAACAAAACAATACATACGAACCAAAGCAAGAACTCACGCAATGAAAAAACCAACCGAACAACGAACACAACAGCAAGCACACACGCACACACCCACTTCTTCTTCCATGTGCTTAAGCCCCCTGGAAAATATGTGTCTAGTAGTCATAAATTCCCTCTAAAAACCAACAGGGGAAAACATCATTTCAGCAAATGGAAGTCTTTCAGAGCAACGCAGACCTAACACTGGCGCACCCTCCTGCTCCAGGATGAGGCGCGGGAAGTCCTGTGAAAGCCCATCATGGCCACATTGGTTGAAGCCGTCTATCCCCCCTACCAGGGGGCCCCAATTCCAGTTGTCTAGTCTTTTGTTTAGAAAGGAAATGGAGCAATAAGTGGGGATCTCCAGGGGTCGAAATCCCCCCTCCCCCGATTCCATATTTAAGGGGGTGGGGATACCCGTCTGACCGTCGGCGTGAGGGGCTCGTGAGGGGCAAAGCTTGCTGTCGCACCAACACATTTGAAGTGTGCATCAAAAATCGTGACTGGGAGAGCATTCCGAAAAGGTGTTTTGGGGAGATACCCTCCCACCAACTAACATGGAAGTGCACAAAGCTTCGCGAAAAAGTACTCTCTCTAAAACGGTCTGTGCACTTCCATGTTAGTCGGTAGGAGGCTATCTCCCCAAAACATTTGAAGTGTCCCGTCTGGCCAGCGCATCAAAATTGTGACTGGCTAGGTCCTCCAGTGCAGAGGTTAGAATAAGGCTACCAACTTTTTTTCGGTAGTCTATTTTAGTAGGGGGATCCTCCCCCAAAAAAGGGGTGAGAAAGGGCACTAGCTGGAGGACCTTGCTTGGAGCACATTCCGAAAAGGTGGTAACACAGAACAGTTGATGCGTCCAAAGGGTCTGGGCTCAAGGCTCGATATGCTTTGCCCGTGAAAAGTTGGTGTTACACCACGGCTGCCGCTGTCAACCGGGAAAAACAACTTGTCTGGGAAGGGTTTCAAGGGCAAGCCAACCCGATACCGAGCTGCCAGGGGGCAAACCAGCCTTTACATGAACTCAGTTGTTCAGTAACCCCTGGAAAAAACGGCGCCCCTTTCTTGGGAAGGCCATTTTTAGTGGGGCAGCCACCAAGAAGAAAAGGGACAAAGAATCGGTGCCACTGAACAACAGTGAAGAGCTGCCCTTCCAGCCAGCTGGAAGGCATACAGATCCCCTAGCTCAAAGAGTGGGGCCAGACCTCTCTCTGCGCGTCAACTCTACTTTTGCCCTAGAGGCGCCCAAAGACAAACCCGCCCCTTTAAACCAGCACGGAAAAGAATCCCTACTAGCCTCGGCTTCATTCCCTGTATAGATACGCAAGGGCTTGCCACCAAAATCGAAAACCAGTAGGACAGTTGCGAAGGGTTGCCTGGGATCCACCGCCAAACAAATCTGCGCCGTCCTTAGATCCCCTGCTAGACCTTTAACTCTGAGTGGGTCAAATGGGAACCCCTGCCAAACCAACTAAACACCTAAAAACCTAAAATCCTAAAAACCTAAAAACCTAGAAACCTAAAACCGCCAAAAACCCAAACACCTGAAAGCCTAAAACAGCTAAAAACCTAAAAGCGTTAAAACCTAAAAACCTGAAACCGCTGAAACCCTGAAAACCTAAAACAGCTAAAAACCTAGAAATCTAAAACAGCTAAACAACTAAAACAGCTAAAATCCTAAAAACCTCAAAACCTCAAAACCTGAACACCTAAAAACCTGACAACATAAAAAAAAGCTTAACAACTAAAAACCTAAAAACCTTAAAACCTAAGGACCGGACGGCTCAAGATCATCACGACACGTCACGGCCGGCCGGGCGGAATTTTCCGCCTTGAAGGCACCAAGGCGAAGCTCCAGAAAGCCTCGGGGCCCAGAAAAGGACCCATGGCCAGGACCCATCCCGTAAGCCCCATCCCGTAAGGAAATATAACGGGAATCCAAAGAGTTAAGGTCTAAAGATCCAGCCCAATAGCGGTAGAGTCTATGATGCATATATATATATATATATATATGTGCATGTGTCTATCACAAGTACTACATATATATATATATATTTACATGTGTGTGTGTGAGTAGTCTAGACGGGTGTCAAGATGTTGAGCTTTGGCTGGTCCCATCATGTTGCAAAATGTTGCCGATAGCAATCAAAGGCAATTCATCCAGGCAAAGTACCAATTTCGACCCCTTCTCTCAAACATGTTTCGTGTGTGTCAGTATTGGCACGGAGGATATCAGCTGTTCCCTAAAAAACAACATGACAGGGGAACCATCGCAAGGAAATAACACCTCTTCACCGGGAATACGCAAAAAAACAAAACAATGCAGCCGGGACCGTGGAAAGGCATTGAGGAAACAGGTAGAATCGCAAGGAAAAGGCAGCAATGAATGTGGAAGAGCAATCGCAATGCAAAGCAAAAACACTTGAACACCCAGTCAGACGTCGATTGAGCGCAACTGCTCCTTGGACCTTGCCGAATGTGCTCAGCGCAGAAAATGTGGGCTCTCGCATGGAACCAAAAGCCACGGCCCGAACACCTTCTCTATTGGACGACCATAAGTTCTTGAATGGTTCTTGGGTTTAGCTGCTGCACTTGGCTTCAGATCTGCATGGAACCCATGTGGTATGTCAATCATATAATCCCTTCTTCCTAATTATGCAGTTCCCCCTAACAATAAACATGTTTTTCGCGGCAAACAAATCCAGGTCCGGGAGTACTAAATTTAGAATAGGCTAGTTCTAAACCAAAATGGCGATTCATACTTGCTCGACCCAATGGAAACAAAAAACAAAACAGAGGAGTTCGAGCCATGTAAATCCCTTACTCAAAAATTGCATTCTCCGAGCTTTGTTTGACGCGGGGCAGGAGAAAAGTTTCCTTGGTGCTATATCTCAAGCTACTCCCTGCCGCGAAAAACTGCAAATCAGCCCCCCCCCCGGAAACAAATATAAAGCAAAACAACAGAACCACACATGGGGGGGGGGTCCCGTTTAATATCAGGGGAAAGGGATTGCCATGAGCGCCCTCTAGCTTCGCATGTGCGTCGTAGAAACTGTTCACACCGGCTGCTTCCTGCGGGCCCAGGCTGGCACCTGTAAGGCACGTTTGGAACTGTGAAGCTTCTAACCCCCCAAATGCCCCAGGGCACTTCCGGTACAAACTAGGTCCTCCAGTGGAGAGGTAGAAGAAAGGGTACCCATGTTTTTCAGCTTTTGTTCAGTTTTGTGTATTTTAGTAGGGGAACCCTCCCAACCAAAAAGGGTAAAAGGGCACACCCTTGGAATGGAACTAGCGGGACGCCTCCCCTTTGGCTTCCTCAAACATTCGCCAGCGACACGGCCAGCGCGAGGCGAGGGGCGCGCGTCCATCCGGCTGACCTGGAAGCAAGCCGGACACCAAGAGGCCCAAGCAAAAAAGCAACAGCACCGCCAACTGAAAACAAGTTGGCAATCTTGCATTCAACATATGCAAGATTCAAATATGCTACTCCTAGACTTAGGAGGTTTCCGTTGGTCCGTGCCAGTGCCTGAAAACTCACAACGTCGAAAGAAAGCAAGTGCAATATTGCATTGAAATCACCGGTGTGGGCAGCAAAAGGAACCACACTTTTTGTTTACCACTAACATGGTCATACTAAAAAGTGACTAAAGTCCAGGAAGTCAGGAAGTGAGTCCACATATTCAACATACAAATCTGCTAGTCCCAGACTTCAGTGGAATGATCTGTGCCAGTGCCTCTTTTCAGAATGTACCGGACACATCCGAGGTGCAGCGAAATTAGTGGACATGGGAAAAAAAAAGCGGCTCTTGTTGTTCGGTTGATTCTCAAAAAAATGAAAAAATCAACTATTTTCCAGGGAAGCCCAAAGAACATGGGAAACACACACATCAATGAATTTTCAAGGAAAGCCCCAAGAAAATGCAAAACCGACAAACATCTCCACTGGCCACCGGACCTCGATGTTGGAGATGTTGAGGCAGCGTGCGCCGGCGAAGCATCCCGCCGCAAGCCGCCGGCACAGCTCTTCGATGGGGTCCATGACCAAGCTCACCATAGACGAGGCACGCGAAAACCTGTGACTTGAACTCAGTTACAGTCCAACAATTTTGCTGGTGCTCAGCAAGGGAATGAGGGAATGACCCTTACAAACCATCCCTTATATTTCTCCATTTAGGGGACCCCTGGCTTCATTCTTACATGCCTTACTGAGCACCAGCAAGCAAACATGGAACCTAACAGCACCAGCAATCCAGGACGCCTCTGTTAGGTTGGGAGGGTACAATGCCAATATGACTTCATGTTTGCTATGATGTCAAGGCTAAGTGCTGAGCAACAAGGTTGCAACACGACCTACGCTCTTCTGAAGCAACGGGCTCTGCGTGGGACTCATGAACAGTGTGCTGAACACATCCCCCATTAACATTTCATGGGTGACGTCAAAAAGGGAGGCATGTTTCATACTTGTGAGTTTGCACAAGTGTTTACGAGGAGCGCAGTGTGCAAGAGCACACATTTTCCTTGTGGGGATAAAGGCACGTTTGCAAAACGTCAATCTGTAGCTAGAAGCTTCGAATTTGACGCACGCTATTTCAGTGAACCTGCCTGTCACTAGTGGGTGTGCTGGCTCTCAAACCCACCAGTTTTTAAGATGGCTTGGGCACTCATGTCACGCGTGCAAGAACGCGTCACCGCGCCCACCCATGATAATGACAAAACCTTGTCCCCGAACCCCTTCGCAAGTCCGAACATATGAAGCGACTTCCTTACATCACGTTCCCAGTCCACCCACGACAGCCCAAAGAAGGCGATGGAGATCTCGCAGCCTGGAATATTTCACAGGAGGGTTTATATGGGTGTGGGGCACCAAAGGACCGCAAAGAAAAGTCCATCCTTCCATTTACCAGGGTTCGATTTTGGGTACCTATTTTTGACCCACAGCCACATTCATCCACTGATATACATTGCAAATGGGGCATGGCCTGACTTTGACAACAACGTACAAATACATAACATGTTTCACACCATGTTGGCAACCAAGGCAAACAGGATGGGGGACGGGACAGAAGAAATGTAGGTTGCCCTCAGATACCTGCAGCCCATCAATTGCGCACGGGGAAGGGTCGTTCGCACGCTAGCCTGCGAATGGGGTGGCCGTGGTTGCCAAGCCTGAAAATGATGCATAGGCGCAATGTTCATCATCCGACAGGCCAAACAGAACCATTGATTGACCTAGCTCCTCCAGTGGAGAGGATAGAATAAGGGTACCCTTTTTTTCCGTAGTCTAGTTTAGTAGGGGAACCCTCCCAACCAAAAAAGTTGGTAAAAGGGCAGACGCACTTGGGTTATAAAAATCTGGCGGGCCTCGTTCCAAGGCCGAAGGCATCCCTTTGGTTGACGGCAGGTTGTGACGTGTTGCTCATCGGAGCAGCCAAATATAGAGGTGTCTCAACCAACATGCGCGCCAAGCAGTGCCTGGACTCCCAAAGTTTTTGGCTAGTCCCTTGGTCGCCTTCCTCATGATTGATGCACGCCGAAACATGAGTCACCATCCACCAGGGCTCAGTAAAACCGGAGGGGGGGGGGAGGTTTACGCGCACATCCCGCGTCTACTGCAACTGGCCGAGGTCTCGGCTCTCTGGGGAGGCGATCAGGCTCCATGAGCTCCACTGTGACATCCTGGCTTTTCGTTGCATCGGCGCGTTTTTGGGCGCTCGGCCATAGGAGAACCGAGAGATGAAAAAAAAAAACACTCAGGCGGGGCTGAGTGAAAGAATGAGAAACCGTCATGGACATACACTCGGACTGGTCATTGGTTACATGTGGTATTTCCCGAAAGGGATCCCTTCCAAGTGGTCATTACTTGCACTTGCTTAAGCCCCTGGGAACCCAAACGCAGTAATTAGTGATAGATTCCCTTCAAAACCAACAAGGGAAAAAATCAAACCTATATTCATGTCAAATGGAAGATGGGCCGTTCAATTTTTGGTTGCGCCGGGGGCCCCGAACTTGCGAGTGCCCGACGGCGGCACGGGGCCCCGCAGTTCCTTCAGCTCTGTCCAGCAGGGCCGCGCCGGCGGCGGGTAGTGCTGCGGCGCCAGCACCCCATGCGGATCTGCCTCTCGATTCGAGCACCTAGCCCGTCAGAATCTACTCTAGGTCCTTCAGTGGAGAGGTTAGAATACAGGTATTTTAGTAGGGGAACCCTCCCCAAAAAAGGGGTAAAAGGGACCTTGGAGGAATGTGTTGGATTGGATGGCCATCGGCAGGTTTAATCAGCTTCCTTCCAACTGCTAAATATGTTTCTGTAGTCTATTTTAGGAGGGGAACCCTCCCCCAAAAAAGTGTAAAAGGGCACTACTGGGGGACCTAGTGTTGCATTGGATTGGCCATCGGTGGGTTGAATCAGCTTCCTGCCTTAACTGGTTTGGAGCCCGGTGGTTTGGTGGCTAGTGGGTGGTTTCCCATGTACCCTCTGCAGGAATCAGGAGTTCAAATGCCAAATGCCCCCAAACTGCAAACAAAAACAAGGTAACCTGATAGAAGCCCATGGCTTTGACAACAATTCAACACCGGAACCTTCCAATGGGGAACCCAAAACAACTCAAATGTGAAGGCGGAACCTTCCAATGAACAACGCAACGTGAAAGAATCCCTACATGAGTTGCGGTTTCTTGAAATAGCCCCTGCGTACGAAACTTGTCAAGAGAGGCTCAAGTTTGGCCCTCAACAGTCGCCCTTTGGCTTGGATAAAAAAAAACAGTTACCAAAACGACACCCTCGAAAGACATACCTGGAGTCTCCATGACCGCGTAAAACATGTGGTCATTGACCAAAATAAAGGAAAGTCATGGACACTGCCTATCCTTGAGTTCCCGTTCAGTTCTTGGTTAGCTGTTGTTGATCCTTCTTGAAAAAGTACCCAACATGCACGAAGTGAGCCATCAACATGAAGAAGTCCCTGGCCAGGTAATGCAACAACATGATGCCATGCATTCGAGGCTGGCGCCCCCGTTCCCAAAGTTCCCGAGGTGAGCTTCAACAGCCAGTGTCGTGCGTTTGTTTCGACAACCACCAAGTAACAAAGCCCAACTTAAGGTGCTCAGTTTGATTTATTCGAGGGACTACCCTTTTTATTTCTTCTCCGGGCTAAACGAAAAACAAGTCGGGATGGGGCACAAAGACAACCGTTTCTTTGGGGGCTAATGGAAGAAACAAAAACTATGCATGGCCCCTTTTCACCAAAAACACACACACACACACCAAAAAAAGAAAACACATCCCCCAAAAACCTCCGGATGGACCTCCTTCACCCGGAACTTCCCCCTCCGCCTGGCGGAGGCGCGTGAGGAGCTGCCGCGTGGCGTTGGAGTCCAGGACCAAGGGCTCCCAGGCGCCGGCGAGGGACATCAGCCGCTGGCTGCCTCTTCGGCCAGGGGTGGGGGGGGGGGGGCAGCGGGGATGAGCTCAGCTTCATAGGGGTGGTTAGGTGCTAGCCTGTCGCCCAAAGAGGGCAAGAGGTATGGCCGCCGGAGACCCAAGTGCCATTTTTTTGGGGGGTCGGATTGGGTTTTCGTTGTCGCTATGTCACTGTCTCGTGGTGCTGGCTGCATAACTGTTGGTTGTTGGGGACCTGGGCTGCGCCTCGGGAAACAAATGTCGCAAAACCACACAAACGCAATCAAAAAAGTGTCAACTGCAACACACTCAGCCAGGGTGAAACCGCTGTTCAAGCAGCCAGCCAACCAGGCAGTACCCAGCCACCCCGGTCCTCGCGAGGCATTGGAAAGCCGCAGCTTGGCCGGCAGAGGCAGATAGGAGGCCACCTCGAGCCCGAAACTTTTCGTGGCACACTGAAAGATCCAAAGCAAAGGCGGTTTGAAACTGGAGGTCTTTTCTCTGTCCCAACCCTAGATTTCTTGGAGAGGGAACCCACATGCTAAGGAACAAGGATCTGTTGGTGTTTTTGCCGAACTTACTTCTCCAGTCGCCCGAAGACATCTCAAACGCATTTAGGACCGGAGGTGTGAGAGACATCCCGCAAAAACTCTTGGCTGAAACAAGTCTTTTTCCTCCAGTCTGGCAAGTGCAAATGCCTGCAAGTAGGGCCAGGCTGGTTTCCGAGTACCTTTTACAAGAGCCACAGGTTCAAGTCCCCATCTAACCCCACCAAGTGGCTAACAAGTCGGCCTATTTCTTGGCCCCCGGGTCCCAAACAACCCCAAAAGGGGGTCGGTGAGCCGGGGCTCGACATTGGGCATCCAAACTTGGGGGTCCAAAGTTGGGCCCCATGGCCTGCGGCGAAAGAGAGGCCAAAGGGAGCTCCGCCAAGTCCGCCTGCCAAAGTGGGCGCCCAAGTCACCCGAGGAAAAAAGAACCAATCGATCAGTTCGGGCTCAGGTCTGTATGGTCTGTAAGACATAAGAGAGAAATTGAAGGGTAACCAACTAGGTGGTTCACATCAAAGTAACCTTGTGCTGTTAGCGTTTTTGGGACTTGCACCCCCCTTGGATTCAATTCAACGGGAGCCGCAGAAATCATGGGCACGCTGATGCATCACAACGGCTGAACTCTGGCCTTGTTTGCAAGATAGGGAATGCGCTTTGACCAACAAAACGTGTTCCGTGTGTTGAGACTTGAGAGCAGCTTGCGCCGTATGGCAATGTGTTGGCCCTTCACGACTTACTACGTGGGTCACGAAGATCCAAATTCGAGACAACGCTCAACGTCTCACATGCATGTCAAAGCTATGCCTGTCTGGCTGAATGACTTCTTCGCCACACAAGCCCTCAGGAAACTGGCAACTTGGAGCCGCTTGGACCTCAGCGAAGCTACGTTTCAATTCGTTGCAGCAGCAAATATACCTGCGATCTGTGTCCTTTCATGAGCGGTTCCATGTAAGCGCATGCTGACAAACAGGCGCCGGACAACCGGCAAGAATCATGCCATGAAATAGGTGAAGAACATAGCCGCAGCACTACCCAAACCACACAAATCTATGAGTTGTTCACCACCGTCACAACCACAGCCACCTCAACAACACCGACAGCAGCAGCAGCAACAACGACGACAAAACAACACGGCAACAAGGGCAACAACGACGGCGCTGCAGTGCAGTGGCCTTCTGTGGCGAATTTAACTTGGAATTTGCTTTTCGTATCAAACACACCGCTTGTTTGGCCAACACTCTGTTGTCAAACGCAAGCTCCGCAATGTTCGCACGAACACCAAAAAGGCACCGCGCCCACCTGCTCAGAGATTCTGAATTTCAAGCCGGACATAGCCACCTACTTCCCACGGCCACCAGCAGCCCCCCAGAAAAGGCCCTCCGGCGCCTCCACTCGGGCGGCTTTGGGTGCAGGGCACGCGTCCTCGAAATCCGCCAGCAGAGCCCTGGGCGCCAGCGTCGGCTTCGCCGGCGCCCGGCGCTTCCGCGGCGCCGGCGGGGTTTTGGCGCGCGGTTTGGCGCGCGACGGGGCATGGGCGAGGACAAGGCGCGCGAAGTCAGCGTCCTGTGAGGCGAGGTGTTTCCTTGGCGCGAAAGTGTCCCAAGCGATGGTTCTTGAATGCAAGTCTGAAGACGAGGAAAATCAGCTGGCAAGAAAGGCAACAAACTGATCCCCGTGAGCGCCAGAATATTCCGTGACTGGCCCACCCTCTCAATGCCCCTAGAAGTGCTTGGCAATCTCTGATTGGCTCCGAATCTAAACGCTGATCGCCGCAGCAAGCTTAGCCTAAGCAAATCTTCCTTCCACTGACTTCAACACTTCAACTGCTCCAAACACCTCAAAAAAAACAATTACCTCCTTGTTTGGTAAAAAGAAAAACGGCAGTAGCCGGCTTCGGTCTTCACCGACAAAGGCGTTTCAGCTGATGGCTTCGCGCTCTGTAGGCTGCACCGTGCCAGGCGTCAGAGCTTCCGCCAAGTAGGACTTGGTGGGCCCATGCTGCACCAATCGCGCCAGAAAGCTCGCGTCCCCCAGCTGCGCGTCAATGAGATGGGCGACGCTCCTAGCCGGATCCCTGGTTTCCCATTCGTTTCCCAAACGCAAAAAAAGAAGCAGCAAAACGTACCCTACGAGGGGCGTTGAAGCAAGATGGGACCAAAAGGGCGTCCCTTAGTTTGTTTACTGTTTGAGCCGGCCGGTACAAAGGCATGCCGTCTTGCAACAGCCCCGCATAAGACTTTTTGGCAATGCTCAAATAGGCCGAGAGCAGGCTGCCTCGTGATGCCTCAGCCGGACTTTGGGCGTAGGCGGCGCTGAAAACGGTGGCTTTGGGCCCTAGGATTGGATGTAGTGAGAAAGCTAGATCTTGATTCCGCTTTGGGTGGCTCTTCGGATGGATATAGGTCGCTATTGACTGCATCGGCTCACTAGCTCGTAAGCTGAATTGGCTAGCAAGGAAAGGCTGACTGCTACCTATGTCCTACTTGCTGAAGCTCAAACTTCAACATAATCAACTCAATAGCCAGCTGTGGGTAATCACCTCGTCCACACGAGCGCCCCGCCCTAGCCCTCAACTCTTGATTTTATTAGATTGTCAGAGCTGCCCCACAACGCGGGATACGCATCGATGAGATAAACGTGACATAACATAATACGTCTTCTATGCTTTCCACAGTCAGCCATCACGCAACCAAGTTCAAGCCGAGAAACCCCTACCTGAACCAGCAACCAAAACATTCGCTGAGGAGCCGCTCCTTTGCCCAACAGGGCTGCAGGGCATTTGGCCGAACATGGCAAGTTGTTTGCCGGGCCGAGGGCTGCGGGGACAAGGCCCAAGCAAGCGGATCTCTGTCTCTCTCCCTGGAAGGGCGCTAAAGGGGCAGATGATCACACAGCTGAATTCCTTGAGATCATAGGTGGCCTTTTGAACAAATAGATGGGTTTCCCTGGTAAATGGAGTAAACCCCATCTAAACCAGGGCCCTCTATTTGTTTAAACGAACCAACCAAAAAAGGACACCTATGCTTGAGATGTGTTGGATACGCAATGGGCGTGCATCATAGTCCCCTAGTCCCTTAAAACCAAGACACATGCAACGCAAGCATTTTCGCGCGCGTGCAGCCGTTCTCTTGCGATGTCAGCTTTGGACTCGTCAAAGCGTTGAATCAAGCAGGCCAGCCACTCATCCTGGTGCACGTCAAAGACACTCCACCACCTCAAGTCGCATCCACGGCAAGAAAAGGAGCCGCATGCGCAACACGTGCTGCAACTTACCAACGGTTCCAATAAAGGCGGAATTCAACGTTAGCTACCTTCTCTAGTCTAGCAGTAGGCCGACTTCTTCTTTCAAATGGTCTTGAAAGCAGCTGCAGATTGGTGTGTTCGAAAACGCGTGCCAACAAAGCAAGTAGCTACGCAACCTCGCGCCAAGTTGTTTTGCTTGCTATGCGTGTAAGCCACACGGCCTCTATGGTCCGCGCAGCAGGACCCGATGCAACAATCGCGCCACACCTTCCCCCCCAAATGCTTAACTTGTGTTCCTCAGCTCGTGTCAAAACTGGAAACATCTGGAAACCAATTTGTGACGTGTGAAGGAAACAAACACCCCGGGGTTCAGCCCCCATTTCAATAATGGTTGACCCAACTGAGATGACAGATAGGTAAACAACGGTGGTTATGAACCCCCATTGCTTCAATGGTTGTTTGAACCCCAGGGAACAGTTGTGAATCTTCATTGACCCTTTGGCAGACATCATTTAGGTGGGGATTGAAGTCCACCAACCTCTATTGATGCGGTTCCCCACTACAAAACCATAGCTCAACGCAAAATCAGCGATCCAGGGGGTCTCAGTGATTTCGGAATTCAATGCACACTTGGAAAACACACACACATTCCCGTGCCTGGCGATGGGGAAAGCCCCGCCCCCGGGTGTGGACGAAATTGTGTGACTCCAAAGCTGAAAGAACGTGGACGTGCAGCGGAGGGCACTCAGATTCACACCTGTTGACCTCTTCGCCAGCAAAACCCAGCCCCCCATTCGCTTCTTTCTCAAACCGTGCGGCACGTGCCGGGTGAACTCTTCGATGTTCACACTGAATGCCGCCAAGTCGGGCAGCACACCTCCGTTCTGATTGAGGCAAGCGGCTCGGAACTTGTCTCGACATCGCCCAGCTAGTCAATAAACAAGGGAACCTATATGTGTCACTCTCGATTGTTTGATCTTCGGCTCGACGCGGGCCTGTTTTGCAGGCACCCTTTTTGAACGAGACAACACACTGACTACTACCATTTTGGGGATGGTCGCCCATTTTGACACATACCCATGATCAAGACAAGGCCCCATGCAAACTCAAACGTTTCTTGCAGCGGGCTACCCTCTTTGCCCAGCCTCCTGACAAGATGGCGAGAAACACTTGGGGCAAAGCACCTCTGTCATATGCCCAGTCGGTTGAAAGATCCGTGACCCACAGAAAAGTCCGTCGAAGAAAGTGGCAGCTGCAAAAGAGTAGGCCAGATCTTAGACGTCCACCCACCCTCCCAGGCTGAAGCAGCATTGCCTCATAGCACGTGCACGTGAAAGGAATGGTGAATCGCAACCTTTTCTTAGACCGCCCCTCCAACAAATATATGTTTTAGTTGGCTATCAAGAAAAGAACGGACACCAGAACAAGTGCAGCTGCAAGAAGGTCTGGTTCTGACAAACAGCTCGTGCTCGAAGAAATCTGGCGCGAGTCGCCAGATTTCAACCTTTGTAGGACACCTTCGTTCAAGTGCTTTCGTTCAAGTGCTTTAGTCTTAACTTCCTTCAATACGTCGGCCCACGAAATTCCATCTCGAGAAATGTCTTCTGGATGTCTCGCAAAAGCCGGCGCTTCCTGCCGCGCGTTTCCACCCGGATCGAACGGGCTCCGGGCTCCGGGTTCCTCGCCTTCCCTCACTCGCGGGATGCAATCGCCGAGAACGGCGTCCCAGGAGCCCGGGAAGATGGCCAGCCACAGGGCGTGATGCAGCATCAGCACCTGAGTTGCTCAGCTGCCAGCGGAAAGCTCGGTTGCGAAATCTGCTCTGCTAAAAGCTAAAAGTGACTAACTTTTAGTGGCTTAATTCGGAAAACCCACTAGTTGGCAAAAAACAGATTAAGCCCTAACATCCCTGGGCAAAATGCAAAGAAAAACGGGTGTGCGCCAAAAATCCCAAGTTCACCGGACCCACAAAACAAGCTCAGCGCTGCCTTCCGCGTCGCAAGGAAAGCAACTTGCACGGCAATCGGAATGCGGAACAGCGGCGGCATCTGAAAAGAACAGCAAAGCAACTAGCACTTGCCCAGTTCCGAAGCGCAACCTCGAACGCTTGCTAGGGAGATATCTCCTCTTGCTTGGTGGTATCATGTTGCTTTCACTGGCCCAGAAAGGAACAATGCATATTAAATGCGCAAACCTTTTGGCAGCTGTAAAAGGATCAACGGAAGGTCAGCTTTGCACAAATGCCTACAAATACCCCCTACAAATTGAAATGGAACCCATTTCACAGGTCCGATCCCCAAAAGGAGTCTCTACACATGGGCGCGATTCTTGGTTTCCTTGTTCCCCCTACTCCGAATAGGTTGTGTTTTAGAATGCCAAGTTCACCCTCCACTAAACAAGTTGGTATTTACCCTGGAAAACCCGAGTTTTCAAAACAGGTCACCCCTCTTTCCTGGCAAACAAATTGACTTTGGTGGGTCAAAACAGAAACCCAGCCACCAAAAAACAACTGAACACCAACTCAAATCAGAAGGGACCACACTGCTCAAGAACCAGAAAAGAAAGCATGCCCCAAATCCAACAGGTTCTTGGAGGAGGGGGGGGGGGGAATCTGAGCATCCCTTTGCAGCATCTAGAGCTCTAGCCCCAAGAGCCCCAAAGCCCAAGGCGCAGTGCTCACCGTGCCGCGCTTGTACGGCATGGCGTTAAAGCCTTGGGACTGACATTGGCTCGTCTTTTCGAGTTGTTGCCCATTTTCTTTTGGGGGAAACCAAGAGAGAAAACCATCTCTCTCTCTTTTTTTTGGGGGGGAGGCGTGCGATTCCTAAAGAAGGACACACCCATGTATGAAAAGGGTGTCAACAACCTCCGCTTGCTGAGAAGTTGCGAGGGACAAATAAAACATAGTTCCTGTAGTAAAATCGGTTCCCTTCGAAAGCAACAGGGGAAATCCAAAAGCATTTCCCAAGAAAATGGAGGGTTTTAAAGGGACATTCACAAGACAACCACCATTCAGGGGGATCCTGTAAAAAATGACACCCCCCAATAGAAGCGACCCTCTTTCTCACACCGGGCAAACGGTAACAAACCAAAACGAACCTTACCCCCAGCCATTGCCAGGCCACCCAGCCACGCCAGCCGCGCCAGGCTTCTTCGCAGCTCCTCCCAGGCCCCGTGGGTCGAAAGCGCCGATTTGAAGGCCGTGGGAAGATCGCACCGCGCCTCCGCAACGCTGCTCGATCCGTGAGACCCGGAAGAAAAATGATGCGATGCAAAACGAGAAACGCAAGTCATACCATTTACTCTTAATTTATCTTTGGCCCGAAAAACCGGCCGGGTCGCTGGACTTCCCCGTCCAGTTGTCAACTTTCTGGTTTATCCAATGAAACGATCGACACTTTTTGGAGGTTTCAAAAAGGAACCAGGGGGAAACCTGGGGTTCGGGGTGAGCTCTGTGTTGTTGGTCTATTTTGAGCAAGGGGATCGAGGTTGGTGGAGGGGTCTTGACGTCTTCTGGTTTCGGTCTGGCTTCCGCAGCGCGTGTGCTGGGCTTAGGACCCACGCACAACACAGAGGCAGCCTTGTAGGAGTGTCTTGACTTGGTTGCTGTAACGACCCCTACGTTAACGTCTAAACATCCAACCCAACAGCAATCAAGTTGAAGGATCCTTCCCAGGGAAACGCCCAAAATCCGAGTGGAAACGGCTGCATGCTGAGCAACAAAAACAAAAAAAAGGGCAACAACACAATCCCTGGCAAAGGCAAAGGCCCAAACCTTTCTGCTTAGAGGGGGTGAAAGAGAAAGTGCTGCAACCAACCCGAAACATGCTCACAGGGCAAAATGTGTGGTCACCGCGCTCTATACTTGGTACTGGTAACTCTTAAGCGAAACTCGACAACGCAGAGCACGAGGAGGCATAAAACCACTCGACACTCTGCAGCAGGCCGTAGGTGTGCCAGCGGGACAAACGACATGTTGGTACAAACCGTTGACTCAACACAATACTAGCATGACATGATTTGAGCCCCCGTGCTAGTTTTCGGGCTCAGTGCAGTTCAACAGTCTTCTGAGTGCAAAGCTTGGCCTGGTCAGGTTTTGCGCTGCTCAAATGGCGCCAATCCATCAAAGCAACAGCACTCGGAAGCTCGGTTTCACTCCCCTCACCTACCCAAAGCAGCTGGAAATAAAGGTCAACCTTGTGGAACCTTTCCTAAAAGTGGACCAAAAAGGGAAACCCGAAAGGTCAAAAGGGGCAGTTGCGACGTTCGGGCAGATCCCAACCGAGCAGCAAGCTCCGCAGCAGCTGCTTGGTAGTTGGACAGCTCGGCCTCCGCTCAAGCTACGACTTGGAACCGCCAAGGGAACTGGAACACAACTTCCCAGGTGCCCCTCGCTAGGGCCCTACCATGTGCCTGGCCCCTTTTCCAATAGGCTGCCTTTTACCAACAACAGACCCTGCACACCAGAAATACTACTCAACTCCGGATCTAGCAGCTAATCACGAACCTAAAGCCCCGGCAGTTTCCCCACGAATTGGTCTCCAAGTGAGCCAGCCCTGCCCTCAGGAAAGTCGC